GGGTGGGTCGCGAGGTATCGCCTTTCGGCCGCGCCGCTGCGCTCGTGACTGGGTGGAAAGGGAATCCGCAACAAGCTTGGCGCTATCGAGAAGAGAGAGAGAGAGAGAGAGAGAGAGAGAGAGAGAGAGAGAGAGAGAGGAGATGGAAGGTATCTATCCTGTCCGTCTCTCTCACTCACTCACTCACACTCACACACACTTGCTATTGGGGGCTGCGTGCCCCGCTCAGGTGGCTCCAACATTCTCTCGGTCCCCGCGACGACCCTCCAGGTGCGTATAAACGTCCCGTTTGGCGCGGCCGGCGTCCATGGCGGCATGGCGATGCGGGCCGCGCGTCCATCGCCGCATTTGCAAACTGATAAAGTTATTGCGGCGCCGAAAAGGTCACGGGAGGGGGGCGGGGCGGGGCGGGGCGGGGCGGGGCGGGGCGACGCCCCGCGGACGCGCGCTATGTAGGCCGGGACGCACTGGACGCGGCGCCTCGAGGCGTTCCCAGGCCCGGTCACCTCATATTGGCTCGCCCCGCCTCGCCCACCCACCCCGCCCGCCCCCCCCGCCCGCCCCCCCGAGAGAGGGGGAAAAAGAGAGAGAGAGAGAGAGAGAGAGAGAGAGAGAGAGATGGATGGCGGTGTCGCCGCGGTGGGCGCGCGGCGCGCAGGGAAAGCACTTACCTGCTGTACATCTCGAAAAGTACTGCCAGCGGCTGGCGGCTTGCCTCGGCCTGCCTTGGCTCGGCCTCACTTGTAGTGTAGGGTTGGGGCCGCCCCGCCGCCAATCCCGGTGCTAGATGTTTCATCCCGGAATCCCGGACACGGGGAGGGGGAAGGGGAGGCACGATGCACGCCGTACAAACTTATAACAATTTTTTGGAGTTTTATTTCGTAAACGGTTGGAGATTTCTAAGAAGGGATAAACTAAAATTCAATTTTAAAAATTTAAGTACTAGTCTTGTGTGGCACGGCCCGGCAGGCCGCGGTGACCCACTGGCCGGGGTGCCGTGCGTGGTACTGTACGTTGTTCGTTGTTCCCCTATGGGACGTCGTGTCCAGCGGATTGTCCACTGTCCACCACGCAGCCAGGCCAGCCAGGCCAGTCAGACCTACATGGCCGGCACGGCCGGCACGGGTCACGAGTCCTATGCTGCCGTGCTGCAGCCCGCGGCGCCACTGGAATGTCCAGGCGTCCTCCGTCCAGCCAGTGCTCCAGCGGGCCTGGCGCTGGAGGCAGCCGGAGGCTGTGGCAGTGTGGGCCCGCCGCCGTGCCACTTCCGACGACGCGAGCCCGCAGGCCCTGCGGACAAGCGCCTGCAGCCAGGGCCTCTGGCAGCGGTGGGCAGCGCACAGTGGGCCAGGAGACCGGTGGAGGCAGCCAAAATTCTAGACGCGTTTTCAGCTCCAGAGTCGCTTAACAGAACTCGAACTTTATGTGTGATTCCTCGTTCGGAGAGCAATCCATTGGTGCGGTCACTCGTTCGGTTCAAGTCTCATTTCGCGACTCTGGAGCTCAAAACGCGTCTAGAGTTTTGGCCGCCTCCACCAATCTCCTGGCCCACTGTGCAAAAGCTTCCTGGCGGCGTCCTGGCGGCGTGGGTGGGAACAGGGATTGCTGGGGCGCTGGGGCCTAACAAGGAAGGGCCCGGCGCGAGGCTTGCCGATCCATCATCGCCCCACCCCGGAGATGTCCACCTGTCCGTCGGCCAGCCGCTTCCAATCTTGATAGACTGTGGCGCGCGTTTCAAAATCCGCCGGCACGACCGCGCCTTTGCATGCGGCCCCGTCTCTCTCGCACCCATGCCGGACTTGCCGAGCGCCCCGTGAGTGCGAGAGAGACAGAGCACCGCCGCGGTGTGCGGAATCGCTGCAGGCTGCACGACGCCGCCAGATGGCAGTGCAGCAGCCGTCGCGCTCTTTTTTTTCCCGCCTCTTTTTCCACGTGAGACGTTCTTTGGGCTATCTGTTGGTCCTTCCCTTCCGCCTGGCCGCTTGGCGCCGCTTGGCGCTCGCCGCCGAGTCAAGACTCCTGGAGTCGCCGGGCCGGCTGGCCACATCGCCACACCGCCGTCGTGGATGTCGTTACAGTTGTGCAACGTGCAGCGGGCTGGCTGCTGGTTGGTTGGCTCCCTCGGGCCGCTCGAGGAAATGTTCAATTTTGGTGGCGTTTTTGTGTGCACGGCTTGCTTGGCTCGGCCGGCGGGCCGCGGCGGGCAACGCAAGAGGCTCGTTATCGAACCGCTGACCCGAGTCCCGCAGTCCCGGACGCCAAGCCGCGGCTAGCGGCCACCACACGCGGTCACGGTAATAACACCCTGGGCGCGGGCACGACGGCGACGGCCCCGGAAGGTGGCGACCTGGGCCCTGGGCCTCCTCCTCATCCCCCTCCTGCTCGTCCAGGCCGCCGCCGCGGTACCAGCCGAGCCAAGCGCGCTGCTGCGCTGTCCAGTAGTGGTCACTCTGCTTCCTCAGGGACTGATGGGTCACTTTGATACCGGCGTGCCCGGTGCCCGGTCCGGTGCCAGGGCTGGCGGTGTGCCGCGGAAGCCTGGCTGGCCTGGCTGGCCAGCGCTGCACAGTGGGCCAGAAGACCGGTGGAGGCGGACAAAACTGTAGACGCGTTTTGAGCTCCAGAGTCGCTAAACAGGCCTCGAATCGAACGTGTGACCCCACCCATGGATTGCTCTCTGAAGGAGGAATCCATTGGTGGGGTCACACGTTCGGTTCGAGGCCCCTTTAGCGACTCTAAAGCTCAAAACGTGTGTCGAGTTTTGTCCGCCTCCACCGGTCTTCTGGCCCACTGTGCGCTGCCGGGCTGACCGGGTAGCGCTCGCTGGCTGGCACTCGCTGGCATCATCGCGCCCCAATGACTGAATGACACTGGAAACAGAAAAACAGGAACAAGAAAACGGCAACTGCGGCGGCGGGTTGCACGCGTTGTGCAAGGAAGCCGTTGGAACAGGAAGCCTGCTCGCCGCGCGTGTCGCGTCGCCTGGCCTCTGCCGTCGTTCCGCCACTGTCGGTGGCACATGGCTCACGCCGCCACGCCGCCACGGCACATCGGAAAGGGGTAACTGCAGTGTGGGCCACACAGTCTCCAGTCGCCAGGCCGGCCATTTCTGACGCAATGCCCTGTTCTTGCCGCGCAGTGCGGCAGTGCGACGCTGAGACTCGCCGTGCGGGAGGAGACGGCGTCCGCGGTTTGTAACGCGCGGCGCAGCGCTCTAAAAAAATATAAAAAATACTGCAGCCCCGCAGTTACTCGAGCCCCGCGTGTGTTGACACACGGCTCCGGACATTAGCCCCTGCGCTCCCGTCGGCCCAGCCGGTCTCATCGTAAAATAAAAGGCACGCATTGTTTCGAAACGCGGGACGGGACGCGCGCCGCCGCCGCCGCCGGGACTCGAACCGCTGACCTCGCTGTTGGCCGGACAAGTGCAGTGGCCGAGCTGTGCCGGGCTGTGCCCTGCTAAGGCCCGAATTCATTGCCCAGCCCAATAAGCCCGGGGGCCGCCTATTACGTGGTGACGCAACGGAAGCTGCGTGTAGTGGTGCTGCCGGGCCCTTGCAGCGGGCGGGGCGGGCGGGGCGGGGCGGGGCGGGGCGGGGCGGGGGGGGGGCGGGGCGGGGCGTCCTCCTCTCAGTGCCCGGTCGGCCGGCCTGCCGGTGCCTGACTGGCCAAAAGGCCCAAAGGAAACTGATTTCATCAATCCCCCTTTACTTTGTCACAGTCATCGCAACGGCAGCGCAGTTTAGCGCCCCCCCCCCCCCCCCCTCCTCCTCCTCCTCCTCCGGCAGGACGTGGACGCGGTACTGATTCTCCCGCTCATATTCACGCGCGCCGCCTGACCTGTTGCCTGGTGTGTGTGTGTGTGTGTGTGTGTGTGTGTGTGTGTGTAAATAAGGGCCGTACGCGCTCCACGCGTTGGGCAAGAGTGGGCCGGCGGTGGCGGATCCAGGGGGGATTGATTGGCGCGAATGCGGCGTTGTTCGGCGGGGCAGGGCGGGGCAGGGCCTGTACGGTGTGCCGCGCCGCGCCCTGCCCCTGCCGTCGTTCCGTGCGGACGACAGTTTGAGAAATGATGAAGACGGTGCCGTGCCGCGCCGTGGCGTGGCGTGCCAGGACGGCAAAAGGCGCGTCGGATCGCGGTGGATAAAAGGATAGCGGACGATGAGGCGGCCGGGCGTTAGGCGAGGATTAGTTGCTTCGGGCCTTCGGGTACTTTGACCTCATTTCCTGTCCGACAATGCAGTGGCCGTAGGGCGGCGCAGGACTGGCTGGCTGGCTCGCCGCGGCGGGGCGTGTAATTTTCGTGCGCGACGTGGCCGTGGCGGTACTGCCGCGAGTGCGGTAGTGGCGGTGGTCAGCAGGCTGACTTACAGTGCGGGCCCCCGCCCCGTGAGTGCGAGGGAGGCCGAGCCGCCGAGCGAAGAGCCACCGTTCGGAATGAGCCAGTGGCATTGGCCCACAACTCGCCATATCGGCCGCCGTAACCCGGCCGCCCTGGCCGGCCGGGCTGGGGCTGGGCCGGCTGGGCGAAGTCGCGATTGTTGTGTATTCGCTCGACTCGGTGCGGCGTCTGCCCGGCTTCGATTCCCGGCCGCGGCGGCGGAATTTTCTTTTTTTGCCGGCGTAATTAGGCCCTCGCCACCGTGGGGGGCGGGCCTGGCGGGCCTGGCCGTCCGCCGGGTCCGCAGGAGGAAGTCTCATTTGGGAGTTAAATGCACCGCGATTGCGGCAATCGCCTTCACTTATCTCTGTTGAAGCTGGGCCTGCTGGGGCCGGGCCCTGGCTGGGGCCTGACGGCGAGGAAACATGATCCAGTGCCTCGACTTGCCGTGCGCGCTTTGTCACAATGAATAGGAGACATTACTGTGGAGTTTGCGCCCCGCCGTGGCCCCGCCCCGCCCCGCCCGCGAGCGGCTGGCGGCTGCTGCAGCCTGACTGCACACAGCGCACTGCAAAAATAAGACTCACGCTAAACTTGTTCTTCCTCTCTTTCCTTCCAGGGGCAAGTACGCGACGGTGCGGCGGTGCCGGTGCCGGTCGACGGGCCAGCAGTTCGCCGCCAAGGTGGTGCGCAAGCGACGCCGCTCCGCCGACCTCCGCGCCGAGATCCTCCACGAGGTGGCCGTGCTGGACGCGTGTCGGGGCTGCCCCCGCATCGTGCGCCTGCACCGCGTCTTCGAGTCCCCCGGCGACATGGTGCTGCTGCTCGAGCTGTAAGTACGACCTCTGCTCTGCATGGTGCTCGCACTTGGCAACTTTGGCAAGTTTCGCGACATTCCCTCCCCCCTTAACCCGTCTCTGGATCCGCCCTTGGTTCGACCACGGCGGTAGGCCTCCCCTCGGTGCGCCACCGTGGTACCGTGGTGCGGCTTAGCGGGACTCCCACTCGACCGGTAATGCGAGCCCGACACACTTACACGCACACACACGCGCGTGGAATGGCGGGACATTAAAAAGGAACCAGCCTTGGATCGATCTTCGGCCACGCGTCTTAATTCTCTGAGCCGAATAAGCTTGATGGGCGGCGCGGCGCGGCGCGCCCTGGCCTACCTTGTTGCTCTTTTTATGACGACGTTACTCTTACGGCCCTGGCCGTCGGCCCCGCTGCCCGCCCTGGCGAATTTGATTCTGCCTTTTGTTGACGGTGGATGGCTGAGCCATTCGCCGGCGGGACGCTGGCCAGTCGTGGCCGGCCCGCGGCGAGCCCCCCCCCCCCTCCACCCCTCCCCGCTGGCCGTCGTCGTCCTCGTGGCCGCGTGGATGCGAAGGTCCAGCGAGCTAGTATTTACCACCAGAGGGCGTTTCGCGGCGCTCTGTCTCTCTCGCACCCCTACGGGATGCCCAATGCGTGCGATAGAGACAGAGCGAAGAACCGCTGTGCGGAAACAGTCAGACAGACAGGCCCGGGCGGGCGCAGTGTACCAGAGTCCTAGAACTAAGGGTGGGTCCTAGGATCCGACGGCCCCGGCGGCGGCAGCGCTCGCGACGCTGCCTGCTTTGCATCCGCGAAGTCAAGTCTTCCTATCCACGCAAGCCCCGCGCAAGTGGGTCACAATGTCAAGCAAAACAATGTAAGTTTATTGCCGCGTGCGTGAGGGAGGCAACGCAGCGCGGCAGTAAAGCCCGCCGCAATCCGTCTTAGCAGTGCGCCTAGGCCTAGAGAATAAAAAACAACGGAATAAAATTAAATGTTCGAAAAAAAAAGCTTTCTCTTAAGTTTCGAGGTCGCGGGCCCGCGGGCCTGCAGTAAGTCGGTCGAGTAGCTTCGCCACCTGGAGCCGTTTGAAGCGGTGCCAGTCGGGTTGCCTACGCCGCCATTGGCAGGCGCACCGAGCCGCGACGGATTCTCCAGTTTGGCAGTCCCGCCGCGGCAGCCGTCATTTTTTTCCAGAGTAAATTTAAGATTCTTTGGCCGGTCGTCCGTCTTGGGGGCACATTCACCAGCCAGGCTAGCACTGCTGGCACTCCAGCCGGCCGTCTGCAGACTGGATCTGAATGCCTGCGAGCGAGGCCTGCGCGGCCTGCCTGCGCCACTTGGCGGTGACGTCACCGGCTTCACAATTAGAGGCTATTGAGGGGCCTAAGCGAGCAAAGACGCCCACCGGCAAGCCGCTCAGGTGAGCGCTCACACACACACGCACACGCAGAGCGCGGACACACATACACGTGCGGATATCTGCGGTGGCCGCCTTTGCACTGCGAGGTGACTGTGTGAGTTAGGAGCTTCGTTGAGGGGGCGAACCTGAAATACGCGACAGGCAAATCGGCCCGTCCGTCCGTCCTTCCGTCCGTCCGGCTCGGGCTGCCGGCCGGCCGGCCGGGGATCGGAATGTCGTCGAAAAGTGTTTCGCTGTTTCACACTTTGATGTTTGTTGTTCCGCCAGGGCTGCGGGCGGCGAGCTCCAGATGGTGCTGGACCGCGACGAGGTGCCAGAGGAGCGCGAGGTGGCGCGCCTCATGCGCCAGATCCTGCACGGCCTCATCTACCTGCACGACATCAACGTGGCGCACCTGGACCTCAAGGTACCACTTGTACCCTTTCTCTCCATTTTCTCCAGTTCTTTTACTCATTTTTTTATTTATTATTTTTGGAGCGGCGCTCGCAGTGATTTTCTGCGCGAGCCGAGGGTCCTCTCCCAGGCACTCGCAGTGTGTGTGTGTGTGGGGGGGGGGGGGGGGGGGGGGGAGCGTCGCGACGCCGCTGATGAGAGCGACGCCGAAGCGACGCCCGCTTGATGGCGGAGTTTGATTTGCGACGGGGAGGGAAGGGCCAGCCCCGCACGGCCCCGCTCGGCGTCGCGCTACTGTGTTGACTCTAGATTAACGCAAACAATTTATGTGCGCGTGTGTGCGTGGCGGGGTGGGGTGGGGTGGGGTGGGGGTGGTCGGGGTCACGCGGTCCATGGGGATGAGGGCGAGCGTGTGCCAGACGACACCAAAAGACACCCCTTTGGGTTTCTCTGCAATGCAAAGGAAGCAAAGTCGTGGTGCTGTGCGGTGTCCCGCGGCCCGCTCTAAGATTGTGCTTCTGTCTCATTTCCCACCCTCGCGGCTTCTTGGGTCATCGTTGTTTGTAGTGTTTTGTGGGTTTTTTTTTGGAGGGGGCGTGTGGCTTGGACACGATTGCGGCGGCAGCCGAGCCATCTCGCTATGAATAATGGCCAAAAGCAATGAGTGTCGCCGAGGCCGGGAGGGTGGCGATGGGGTGCGTGAAGGCGAGGGGGTTTTCCTCGCCGCGCAGTGGGAGCCATGCTTTGTCGCACTAATTCTCTCCGTCCCTCTCGCACCCTTGCGGGCCGCCGCGTGCGCGCGAGAGTGTCGGAAGCGTCGTCCGGAATCATTCCGCCGCGCCGCGCCGCGCTGCTGTTTATGGTGCGGGTTGAAATTTCACGCTGCGCTCCCGATTATTATTGACCCTCGTTCCTCTTCCTCCCCTCGGCGCCGCGACGCGTGTTTGCGTTGCGGCCGAAAGTAGCAGACAGAGGCTGGAGTAGGACCGCTGTGGAGGGCAGGGCCACACTGGGCCACACGCGCGAACCCCGGTCCAACCGGCCGCCGCGTCGTTCCTGGTCGTTCCGGATCGTTCCTGCAGAGCGATTCAGAAGAAGTTTGTCGCTCTGTCTCTCTCGCACCCTTACGGAGAGCCCCATGAGTGCGAGAGAGACAGAGCGACGAAACGACTCTTGTGAACCTGAATCGGGCGGCGGGTCATTCGCCGCGCGGACCGCCAGACCACGTGCCCGCGCAGCGCTACGCAGCGCGCCTCGCCCGCAGCGCAGCGGCGCACTCGGATTTGGGTCAATGGTTGATTTTATGTTTCCTGCACGCACGCACACACACGCGCGCGCGCTCGCGCGGACCCCCGAAACGCATGATTGCAATATTGATGTTGTGCTGCCGGGCCGGGTGCACCCTCCCCGCGGTCTGGCCGCCGCGTGCCGGGGACCGTCGGGCCAGGGGAAGGGGGGTCTTGGAGGGGGCAGAGTCGCGAGTGGCCCGTGTTCCCCAGGACGGCCCTCGGCGACAGATGGCACGGCCCGATGAGTTTATTCCCCTCGGACGTTGACGACTTACCTAAAATTGCAGCAAGGATGCGTGCAGGGGGAGGGGGCGAAACCGGCATACGGAAATCGGCGGCGGTAGCGCTGCAAACACTGTCCTCTCCACTGTCCTCTGTCCGCAGCCGCAGAACCTGGTGCTGACCGGCGACTTCCCCGACTGCGACGTCAAGCTGTGTGACTTCGGCATCTCACGGTACCTCAGCGAAGGCGCCGACGTGCGGGAGATCTTGGGCACCCCCGACTACGTGGGTGAGTACGGCGCCGAGTTTACTTGAGAGTTGTGAGTACACCATCACCCCGAGCAATGGTCGAGCGTTGGTCTGAGCCCACCGTGTGTTCTTTCTGTCCCTACAGCCCCCGAGGTGCTCAACTACGAGCCCATCAGCCTGGCCACGGACATGTGGTGAGTTGGACATGCCGCCATGCGCGGCCTTTGCCCTCGGCCGCGGCCGTCACGGCCTCGTCACGTTCACGTTTCTGCCGCAGGTCCGTCGGGGTGCTCCTGTACGTGCTCCTCACCGGGTGCTCGCCGTTCGGCGGCGAGACGAAGCAGGAGACCTTCTGCAACATCTCGCAGTGCCGTCTGGACTTCCCAGACGATCTGTTCGAGGATGTTAGCGACAACGCCAAAGACCTGATGCGCAAGCTGATTGTCAAGGATCCTAAGTGAGTGTCCGGCCGTCCAGGCCCGTCCAGGCCTGCGTAGAGGTGTCGCGCGGGGCTGCGTGAAGTGACGCACGTTTGTTTTCTTGTTGCAGGCACAGACTGAGTGCCAGCGAGTGCCTACAGCATCACTGGTTCGCCGGGCAGGGCCGCGTGGACCTGGTCCTGGCACCGAGCACCACGACGACGCCGAGCACCCCGAGCACGCCGCCCGTCCGGAGGCACAGCGTGGCGTGTCCCTCCTCACCGCCACCCCTGCCCACCACGCCGCCGCCCACCGCCGCCAAGACCACCACCACCACCACCACCCCGCCCGGGTCGCCGACGGCGCCCTCGCGGCGGATACCCGCCACGGCGAAGGACAGCTTGGACTCGCGGCGGACGAGGGAAGGTCCTTGCAGGTCGCAGTCGGCACACGCGCTGGTGTCGACGCCGGCGTCGCGGCGCTTGGCATCGGCCGACAGCCTGGACGCGCTGGACGCGCTGGACCGGCTGCCGTCGGCGCAGTCGACGCCACGCAGCGGCATCAGCGCCGTGCGCCGCAACACGTTCCTGCGCAACATGGAGAGCATCGCCAAGAGGCTGTCCGTGACCGGCGACGCCGAAGTCCCCTCCCCCGTCGCCTCGCCTCCCAGGACGCCCACCAGGACGCCAAGTCGCACTGCGGCGCGCGCCACCGCCATGCAGACGATGCCCGTGCGGAGCGTGAGCGTGGAGGCGCCCAGCGGGCAGGCGACGTCGACGGCCACCTCGGCGTTCACACCGGGACTCGTCGGGCTGGCCACCTCTTCCGTCGACCTGAGGTCGGACGTGCTCGCCAGGGACTTGCTCGCCAAGGACAAGGAGGCCATTTTCAAGTACCGGAAGGTGTTTGTCCTGGAGGATGTGGACGCCGACGACCTGGGCGCGCTGTCGCACCTCCCCCTGTCGTCCATGTCACCGCCGCCCTCCATCAACGGCTCCACCGGCTCGTCCGTGTACTCGGACACGTCCATCAGCGACTCGAGCAGCGACACGGTCAGCGAGCTGTCCGTGGACTCGTCCAGCGACCGCTCCAGCATCATCTCCCTGGACCACGACGAGGCGTACCCCTGGGACGTGGCCATGGGCTACCGGCTGGGGCTGGGGCTGGGCCCCGCGTCCGCCACGCGCCTCAGCTACAACGTGTGGGAGCGCCAGGGCCAGCTGGCCAGCTCGGCTCCCTCGGCTCCCTGGGCGCGCTGGGCACCCTGGGCCCGCGGCCCGCCAGGCTGTTCCCCAGGGAGTGCAACGGTTCGTTCGCCCGCGCGCTGTCCCGCTTCGCCACCGAGCCCGAGGACAAGGCGCAGGGCTTCGACGGCCAGGGCCAGACCGCGGGGGACGCGAGGCCGAGGCCGAGGCCCACGGCCATGTCGGTGCACAACAAGCCCATCCTGAACAAGCTGGCCCTGATGCAGACGGCCATGAACAAGGGCAAGCGCTGCGGGCTGGAGCTGATGCGCGAGAAGAACGGCAACCTGGTGGTCATTAGGGAAATTCGGGAAGTGAAGCCCGGCGGCAGATACGCCCGGTTCAGCGAGGTCAAGTGTGAGTCTGTCCAGTCGCGGATCCGCAAACTGCAAGTTCAGGGCGCAAAGTCATAATTAGTGAACTTTTGTTGTCATGTGATTTTTACTTAATTTGACTTAGATTAGGTGTATTTAATTAATCTAAGGACTCTTGTAGAATATGGGACCATATTTAAATTAACTTATTGTGACAATTCTCTGCATTCCTTGGTGAAACTTGGATTTTGTGCTTTGTGTGTGATTGTGTGAATGTACGTATATGCATGTACCAGAGGAGATGTGCAAACAGTTTGTATCAATAATGAAATCAAATTGTGGACATGTACCAGTCACGTGTAGCTAAATTTTCAGTATATGGAGACTGCTTTAATGAAAGTGTTTTTATGCCATGGATATCTTCTGTTTGCACATCTCGGGATCAGCCATACATAGTATACTTAAGCTTTCATGAATCTGTGTGTTCTGTGATTCAAGTTCTAAATGACGCTATGCTTTGAGAAAATCAAAAAATGACCAACTTTTCATCATTGCCTGTAATCATCACTTTTTAAGCAAGTTCACCAAATAAATGTTGAAAATATTGTGAACATTTTAATAAGTGAATGATGATACTTGCCATTTTAGCAAGGAGTGGTGTTAAAATTTTTCTATCTTCTTTTTTAAGAAAACACCTAAGTTTTCAGGAATAATTATTTTGGTGTTGTAAAGTTGTTTTTTCCACCCTCCAACATAAAGTGTACTCATGAACTGAATATCTCTGTTGTCTATATGTGCCCTTCTGTAACATAATGCTAGTCATTTTCCCTATTATAATTTTTATGTTGTACAGTCCTTTTTTAAATTTTGTTGATTTGTTGATGCGTGATAAGATAAACATTGTGTACAGCATAAGGTTCAAAGGTCAGAAGCAGAGACAATTTTTATGCCTCTTGTGCAAAATGCTCAACTGTTAATATTTTATATGTTACTCAAAGAAAACTGATAAATCCACAAATTATACTCCCATTCATAATTCTTGGAACAATGTTAAGAGTAAATGATCTTAAAAAGTTCATAATTACCCGTATTTTGAAAACAGCTTGCAAGGCATTTTTCCATAATGACATTTTATTTTATCTTTGCAGTGCTTTTAGTCCCTTTGAAGGACTATTGGATTTCATTTTGAGGCTCTGTCAATGTCTTGCTGTAAAAGTCTGTGTATTCTAGAAGTGACATAAATATATTTTGAACAACAGCTTTGAAAAAAACTAGTCTCCTTATTTCTTTCCCTGATTCCACGGACATGCGAGAAGCGGTGTTCAAAAATGGCCATTGCTAGCTTGGGAAAAAAAAGAAGTGTGCCTTTTTACCTTCTGCGCTAGGTCACCTTGCAACTTCCATAGTGACCGGTAGTGATCGAAAGACTTCTAGGCGCATAATCGGAACTGTAGATCCACTAGATTAAAAAAGCCGACCATAACAATAGTCCCATCTGGCGACCCTGTAGTACACGGTAGAACTCAGTCACCAGTCCTAGTCCCGTCATATTCCATCTTGCGCCATCACTGCTGTCCCTGGCTCCTTTCTTGATTTGAGCTAGCCAGTAAGAGTGAGGGCCCCCCACCCCAACCTCCGGTGCGTCCGAATGTGGAACCTTTCGAAAACCCTTTTGAAACACGCTATTGAATGATACGAGTGCCAGGCGGTTACGCATGCGTTCCACTTCATAACTTTGCCGCCGCGCTGCTAGGTTGTTTTCTCAGACAAGTAGGCAACATAAAAACTTTTCATTGAAGCGCTAAGAAAAAAACATTAGACCTGGTTTTAACTCAAAGGTGTTGAATTACAAAATCAATTTAAATTTGAATTTCCAAATAGTTTTAAAATGGATTACATTTTCTATTTGTCTGAAACAAGCAGAATCGATTCTTCTTGAAAGGTTGGTGGTCATGCCTATGTTGTTGCTTGTTTCGCCTGCCCTTGTTTTTGTTTGCTTGCAGCCTGTACGTGCGTGCGTGCATGTGGCAGTAAGGTTAGGTTGCTTAGAATGAGAGGCCGAGATGTATCCCCTGCGCGCTAACTGAATTGTTGATTGTCTCTTGCTAGCGCTCAGAAGTTAGATCAGTCGATCACTTGAAGAATATTTCAAAATAGTTGTGCTGACGCTGATGGTAAAAATTAACTCGTATTCTTGTGCCCGCTGTCCGTACCTCATGTCTGAAGTGCAGAATTTTGTAAATGTTACACAACTTATTTGTTTGCAGGTATCTTTGTTGTTCGAAAAACAGTAAACATGGAGCTTTCAATGGGTGACAGCAGTGCGAGGCGTGTCCTCGACCCCAGGAACGTTACTTTCTCTGTGTTCACATCAGATGAAATCCGCAAGATCAGTGTTTTGAAGATTGTGACCCCTATGACTCTCAACCCTTTGGGACATCCTGTCACTGGTGGTCTTTATGATGGTGCTATGGGGCCCATGTTGGAAACCAGTGAGCCTTGCAAAACCTGCATGAAGAATATTCAAAGCTGTCCTGGGCACATCGGACACATCGAACTGCCTGTTCCTGTGACCAACCCAATCTTCCACAAACCAGTCGCTGTTTTCATAAGAATGGCTTGTTTGAATTGCTACCGATTTCAGCTGCCACCTGCAGTTAAATGGCAAATCTATGCTCAACTTCAACTAGCCGATGCTGGATTCATTACAGAAGCCTTAGAAGTTGAAAATAACTGTTCATTTTCGGATGAGAAGTGGCCTTCCGCTGAATTAGAAGAATCTTCTTGTAAGGCCAAGATAATAGATTATGTTCTTTCTGTCATCAAAAGTAGCCCACGTTCTGAAACGGACCAAAACTCAGCCAATACCAAAGCTGCTGAAACAGTTCGGAATGCTACATTAGCCACTTTATTCCGAGGTTCCACTACTGACAAGAAATGCCTTTTCTGCAAAGCACGGTTGGTGAAGTTAACATTTTTCAGGGATCGCTTGAATGTGAAGGTTCAAGTAGCACCAAAGCATCAGGGTGAGGACACTCTGAACCCTAATAATTCAATGGTCCCAAATACGTCCGCTGTAGATTTGAATGCAACATCATCTGCTGTCTCCAAAGGCCAAATGCAGTCTCTTAACCCCAAAGAATTAAGGGATCATTTGCGAGGTCTATGGAACAATGAGAAGCAGTTTATGGCTGAAGTGATGCCCATCCTGAAAGATAGAGACCTGGAGTACCCTACAGATCTCTTCTTCTTTGATGTTATACCGGTACCTCCACCCAACGTGCGCCCTGTAAATATGGTCAATGGAATGCCTTGTGATCATCCTCAGACTGCCATGTACAAGAAACTTTTCACAGATTCAATGGTTATGTGGAATGTTATTCAACTGGTTCAAGATGGCTCAATTGACAAACTCTCCAAAGAAGGCAAGTTACTTGTTCAAGGAGTTACGGGTAGCAGTCCATTTGAAAAGCTGCATTGTGCCTGGGAGGTACTGCAGACAAGTACGGATCAGTTGCTAGACACTAGCTCCCTGAATAGCAAAGTTAGAGCGCAAGGCCTGAAACAAGTTCTAGAAAAAAAGGAAGGTGTAATCCGAATGCACATGATGGGTAAGCGTGTTAATTTTGCGGCTCGCTCTGTCATTACTCCTGATCCCAATCTAAATGTAGATGAAATTGGATTTCCGGAAGCTTTTGCCTTGAAATTGACATATCCTGTGCCAGTCACCCCTTGGAATGTGAGGGAACTAAGGCAACTGGTTTTGAATGGTCCTGATGTTCACCCTGGTGCTGTGTATGTAGAAGATGAAAATGGACGCCGTGCACGTTTGAAGAGTGATGATCCCTTGCAGAGGGAGACCATAGCCAAACAGCTTCTGAAACCAGGAGATGTTGCCAAGAATTTTACTGGAGGCACTAAGAAAGTGCACCGCCATTTGGTGAATGGTGATATTCTATTGCTCAACAGACAGCCTACTCTCCATCGGCCCAGTATAATGGCTCACAAAGCACGTATTCTGAAGGGAGAGAAAACTCTTCGAATGCATTATTCCAACTGCAAATCCTACAATGCTGATTTTGATGGAGATGAAATGAATGCTCACTTTCCACAGAGTGAGCTGGCAAGGAGTGAAGCTTATAACTTAGTGAACGTGTGTCACCAGTATCTTGTCCCCAAGGATGGCACTCCATTGGGTGGATTGATTCAGGATCATATGGTTTCAGGTGTGTGGCTTTCAGTGAGAGGAAAGTTCTTTTCACGTGAAGATTATTTACAGCTGGTATATCAGGCCGTTGGTGACATGCCTGGAAACATTCAACTTCTCCGCCCTGCTATCCTGAAGCCTCTCCCATTGTGGTCAGGAAAGCAAGTTATCTCTACAGTAATTATTAACACCATTCCTAGCAGAAAATCACCGATCAACTTGACTGCTACTGCCAAAATCAGAGCAAATTTGTGGGTTAAGGAAAAACCCCGTCCGTGGAAAGCAGGAGGCACACCATTTGGCTCTTCAAACACAATGTCAGAAGCTGAAGTTGTTATCAGACAAGGCGAGTTACTTTGTGGAGTTCTTGACAAAACCCATTACGGTGCCACTCCCTATGGTTTAGTGCATTGCATGTATGAACTCTATGGTGGAGAATGTTCAAGTAAATTGCTCAGTGCCTTCTCAAAGTTGTTTATGGCATTCCTTCAGTTGATGCAAGGATTCACCTTAGGTGTTGAAGATATCTTGGTAATGGAAAAAGCTGACAAGCGTCGTTCTGATATTATCCAAGAATGCCGGAAAATGGGGGACTCTGCTGCTGCTGCTGCGCTTGGACTTCCTCCAGACAGCCCTTCAGATCTTCTAACTGAAAAGATGGAAGAGGCATACTGTGATAACAAGAGAAACTTTAGAGGAGAGATTGACAGTCAATTTAAGAGTTTGCTCAACCCATATACTGATGATATCAACAAGACATGCCTTCCAACTGGCTTAATACAGAAATTCCCTCAAAATAATCTGCAACTTATGGTTCAATCTGGAGCTAAAGGTTCCACTGTAAACACCATGCAAATTTCAGGATTACTGGGCCAGATTGAATTAGAAGGCAAGCGCCCTCCACTTATGATATCAGGACGCTCTCTGCCTAGTTTTGCTCCTTATGACAGGCAACCAAGAGCTGGTGGTTTCATTGATGGACGGTTCATGACAGGAATTCAACCACAGGAGTTCTTTTTCCATTGTATGGCAGGACGTGAAGGATTGATTGATACTGCTGTGAAGACGAGTCGTAGCGGTTACTTACAAAGGTGTGTCGTTAAAAGTTTGGAAGGTCTCAGCATACACTACGATATGACTGTGAGGGACAGTGATGGAAGTGTTGTGCAGTTTGCCTATGGAGAAGATGGCATGGACATAAATAAGGTCCAGTTTTTGAAACCTGACCAGATGTCCTTCTTGGAAGATAATCATAAAGTATTGTATGATAAGAAATTGCTGAAATCACTTACAGATGAAGAAAGTGCTAAAGAAATTTCAAAGCAGAAGAAAAGAGTCAAGAAGTGGAAAAAAGTTAGTAACAATGATGGACAAAGAAAAAGTACATTCCTCAACTACACAGTTGGAATGAAAGATACATTCAACTCCAAGAAGCTATCCAGCAAAACCGGAAGAAAGAAAGGCTTGGAACAGCTAATTGATGTCTTCAGAGAGACTCCAGAGTCTAATCCAGAAATGAAACAGTATGTTGTCAATGATAAAGTTCCTGATCCAGTGTCTTCAACTCACTTTTTACATTCACATTTTGGTGCTGTGGTTGAACGTTTAGATGACATGATAGATAATTATATCAAAAGTAGAAATGGAGCGCACAGCACTGTCATTGAGGATTCACAATTCAGGGACATGTTGTATCTTAAGGCAATGTGTTCCCTCGCCCCTGCTGGGGATCCTGTGGGCTTGTTGGCTGCTCAATCTGTTGGGGAACCCTCAACTCAGATGACATTAAATACCTTCCACTTTGCTGGTCGAGGAGAAATGAATGTCACTCTTGGTATTCCACGTCTGAAAGAAATTCTCATGACAGCATCCAAAAACATAAGCACTCCATCAATGGAAATACCATTTCAAAGAGATGTCACAGACCTCCAAAAAGAAGCTGAAAACCTAAAAGGTAAACTCTCTAGAGTCACTGTAGCTGATATTCTGGAATATGTTGAAGTGACAGAATCTTTGGTCCTATCTCCTGTACGGGCTCATCAGTATGTCATGAAGATGCACTTCCTTCCATATGAATACTACAAACAAATGTATCAGGTAACTCCTGATTCTGTGTTGAAGCATATCGAGAGGAATTTCCTTGCTGCCATAGAATTCCACATCAAGAAGCTTATTTCATCTGCCGGTAAAACTACATCAATCCAGGAGCAGGTCAGAAAATCTATGAAGTCTGGGATAGAAAACAAGAAAGAGGCTGAGGAAGATGACGTCGCTGTGGAGGCTCCTAAAGCTGATGCTGGTGAGGGTCATGAAAGTTCTGACGAAGAGGCTCGAGATGAAGATGATGATGCTACAGCAGCCAAGCAACACACAAAACATCAGGATACTGCAGCCTACAGTGATGAATCAGGAGACGATAATTCTGACAATGAATCTGAAGCCCTCATAAAACAAGAAGAAGCCGTTCATGAAGCTAATGAAGGAGATGATGTAAGTTTCCTCAATAATTATGCCCATATTGATGACTACTCTTATGACAAGAAAAAGAAAGAATGGTGTGTCATCAAAATTAGTATTGCGCTCCCATGCAAGAAGCTAAATCTTTCTACGCTTGTGAAGGAGGTATCTCGCTTGTCAGCAATTAGTGAAGTTCGTGGTCTGAAGAAAGCATTTCTCCTTAATAACCCTCGAGAGGGCATAGTGCTGAAGACTGATGGTCTCAACATAATAGAAATGTTCAAATACTCAGACCTGCTTGATATAAACAAACTGTACTCCAATGATGTTCATGCCATTGCAGGAATCTATGGCATTGAGGCTGCAGTTAGAGTAGTTGTTAAAGAAATTCAGGATGTTTTTAAAGTCTATGGTATTACAGTTGATGCTCGCCATCTCATGTTAATTGCTGATTTTATGACTTTCTCTGGTGTATTTTTACCTATGAGCCGAACTGGGCTTGACAACAACCCATCTGCTTTGCAAAAAATGTCCTTTGAAGCTCCCGTTGGTTTCTTAAAGAAGTCATTGTGGCTAGGAAAGACTGACAGTCTTAATTCACCATCTAGTCGCATTTGTGTGGGCAGACCGTGCAAGAGTGGAACAGGAGCTTTTCAGCTCCGTCATCAATTACTCATCAAGTAGTTGCCAAATGATGCTTTTTGTAAACTAACCCATTTTTGAAGTCTGTCATAGAAATATTTTGTCATAGTTTTAAGGACTTTTTGTGATATTGATGTGGAAAGGCCCTAATTGTCAGTGAGAGGCCAAATTATCTTGCAAGCTCTTTGTAATAAAATTTAGTTTATTTGAAGGCAGGGCATGTGAAGGAAACATCTATTACCAATGTAAACAATGTATGTAAAGTAACAATTTATTGTAATAAACAAGTGTCAAACAGTACTGTTTTTCCTTTTAATCTCAGAACAGCTGCATGCATAATTAAAACAATATCAGGGAGTATGTAGAATGTCTTTAAGGCAACATTTCTCCCCAAGAATTTTAAAAAAAAGTTAAAATAAAGGAAAGAAAAAAAAAAGAAGTATGGCACAAATATCCCAGGAAGCAAACCTAATGCAATCTTTCAGTAGTGTACATATAATGAACAGCTTTACTGGTAGCAGGGCCTACATTTCTACATGTTGCAGTACCAAGACAAGGAATATCTGCAAACATCGCATCATGTCCACCAAATTTGCTTGCTTGAATTAAGGCTTGTGGGGTAGGGTATCGTCCGACGATTGCAATTGCCTTTTCGACAGACAGATGTTTCAATTGGACTAGGTGGCGGATTAACATCTCCTTGACTGTGAAATTCTGTTAAGTAGGAAAATGAAACAAACACATTAGACAAACATATGAGTGCAACTAATATAGTAAATTGAGGATAACTAAAATAATTAAAGCACCTTGGTTTTCTTTGAACTATGTTTAAACTCCTGAAATTTTATTAGAGTTATGAAATCATCTGACATTGTAAAATTAGCCAAATCCTTCTTAGGACATCCCAAAAGTGTTTTATTCTGTAAATAGAGAAAATAAACATTTACTTCTTTAAATTCATGTAAACAATAGATAAAGGGAAACAGGCAAAGGGAATACCATACCAAAAATGTTCGTCCTAAAATACGTGTAAGTGAAGCCAAGTACGCCATGGAGTGTAGATGATCAATTGTGTGTTTAACAATGAATCCATCAACCACCTGGGTGTTAACAGCTGCTTGTTGCACTGTGCTCAAAGGTAAACCAACATGCTGATCAGACCCATGGCTTTCCACTAAGTAAATTAGGTTTTGAATACCACTCTGCTTCAAACGGAACTAAAATCAAAATAAACACAATCGTAATTATAAATCTTGATCTTGCGCAGATTAAAATTATTATTACTGAAAATTTTATGTACCTTTTGCTCTTTAAAACGACCATCTTTGATACTACCCCCCAGGTCATCCATTCGTTTGCGTTCAACAATATAAGGCAATACTAACTCATCTTCTTTGGAAGTCTTACTTCTTGCAATCCAAAGAAAATCACCAAGTTCTAACTTCCTAACTTCAAAAGGTACATTCATTTTACTAAGTTCTGACACTGTTTGGTTGTGGTTCTTCTTTGTTGCACTGAGAGTGGAAAAAAAATGCAATTTGTGTAACATTTATCATAACTCATTCTGGAAAGCCATAAATCTCATACGAATTCCACCTACCCTCCAGTTTCACATGTATCCACTAGGAGAATCACATCAAAACTTCCACTTTCCAGCACAACTGATGCATCAGAGGCATTGCTGCTTGTTGGTTCTTGAAGTCCAAAATTCTTTAGTGGAGATGGCAAGTTTTTGTTTCTTTGTTTGGAGACTCCCTGTGCTGCAGGTAATGTCTTGCTTGATGACGCAGACTGTGAAAATAAAATAAAAAAAAGAACATTGAGACCGTTGAGGGTAAAAAAAAAGCACAGAGCTGCAAGAACTGTGTTTTGCCAAAATAAAAACTGTTACCTCTTGCCAGTCACTAGCAGTAGTTGTAGTCTTGGCAGTGCTAGGTTTGACTTTGGCCTTGCTGTTTCCTACTTTGTTACATTCAGTGTTGGCACTTGAGGGCTCTTCTGTTGAGGGTGAGAATGTGTCTGCATCTTCCTCACCTTTCTCTTTCAGCAGTCTTGCCATATCTCGTCCTTCATCAGTGAGAGAGAACCTTATGTGAGAGACAGTGTTTTGTAAAATAGAAATTGCACATACTGTAAAAACCAAGATGTATTTGTAAAGACATACTTTGCAGGGCAACTGCATCGGTTAACAAGGCCCTTCTTCACTAAAGTAGACATTGAGGACCATGCAGTATATTGAGAACCTGGGTCAGGTCGCGTGAATGACTTGTCACATAGGGGCTGAGCTGCATCTTGAAGTTCAGATTTTAACATAAAACCTGCAATATTCAACATGTCTTATTTTTATTCCGTGGAATTAAAAAGGCAAACAAGCAAAATGTGATTTTTTAATAAATTGGAAAATGACCTGGGTAGTTGGGGCTGTTCTCTTGCGTTAGTAATGTTATAAGTATTGCATAAGGCCCAGAACGCCAAGCTGGTACATATTTTCTTCCGCCATTGCGGCGTGGAATTTTTTCTAATGGTTCTCCATCTTCTTCTTCATGATGATCCTTTGCATTGGTAGCAACATTCTTTAAAAAGATTTAAGATTGGGGTAAACTTTAAGAAGACCAATATGACAAGACAGTGATCAACATTGTGTATATTTGAAATAGGTACCTTCTTTTTGGGTGTTTTCCTCTTTTTAGCAGGTGGTGGAGCGGCTACCTGGGCCGGCGTATTTTCATCAGGAGGAATATCATCAACTGGAAGTGAACGCATGAAAAATAAGTATTTTTCCAATAGGGCTCATCTGTCATATCACATTATAACATACTTTCAGGGTGTGTTTTACGGTAGTCAGCAAGCTTTCGGTCCAACAGTTGGCATAAACGGTTCCCAAAACATTCCAATATCATACAGTCTCTTCCACTTCTCAAGAGGAGCGGATATTTTCGTAGAGATTTCACGGCCTAAAGAAAGAAAAGTTATTACAGTTTTTCCAAGTTTCATTCCAAATTTAAAATCTAATACCTTTCCAAAGCAGTACTGCATGTCTGATCCTTTTTCAACTGCCTCAAGACGCCACTGCTCCAGCCATTCTTCAAATAGAGGATTTGGGCACTTCTGTGGTGCTTTCTTAATCCGCTTCATATTTGGATTAAGAGGTTCCATCACTGACGGCTTTGAAAGGTTTAATTAAATAGAACGCAAACATGCAAAGATCAACCCCCTATAGTCCATAACCTTCCATCACAAGAACTGGGAAGAAATGTTTGATTAAGAACGAAGTTAAATGAATAAAATAAGTTGGTTAATCCACGATTGACATTAAAATAGCATTCCACAGTCAATTTGGACGATGCAGCATGCTGCGATTTGCGATTAAAACTAATCCAACTAAACACAACAAACCCAAAGTTTTGGTTAGGTTTGGCTTTCCCGCCGCCGGCAGACGTAAACAAACAACGAGGGGAGGGGAGGGGAGGGGGGAGGGGTAGAGCCCTGCACCTAGAAGTCCTGTAGCAGGCTCTAGAAGCAGAGGTACCTAGAAAAGCTGGAGTCCCCTTTCGACCTCAAGAACCACTAGATGAGAATCTTGTTTTCTGAGGAAATTATTGTTCATGAAACACCTAGAATATGCAGCAAGCTGTTTTCTGCAAACCAAGCATTATGTTTTTCAATGGGCATTCCCTCACTTCTTTTCTTTTTCAGAAATTGAGAGACTGTTTGTTGAATTATCGCTAATTACTCTTTAGCCTGAGTGCCATGCGGACCAAATGTGCTTTCACCTCTCCCAGTTTAACCAAATGCCTGCTGTAAAGTTCTTCTGGTCCTTTTGATGGTAAGGGAGCATGTTAGGAGGAGGACGCCCCACTCAAGAATTAAAGTTAAGATAATTTATTAAATATAACGAGTAATTACAATTTTCTATGAAAAAATATACTAGCATGCATTTGAAACAGATAAATAATATAACAACAATAATAAAATTCGATGTGGACAGAGCTACATTGTTCTTCAGGCAGCAACATCAAAGAAACGATCAATCATTGCTGACACTTGAACACCAGTGTACTTAACATATTTTTCAGGATTTTTTGTAAATTGAAGACCTGCATATCTGAAACCCAACAAAAAACTTTAAGTCAGATCAAAAGCAAAACATTTAAAGAAAAATTATTACTGGAAAATAATACCTACTTTTCATAAAAGGCATTATATTTTGGCAGAATGTACTCCTTGTTATCTCTTTTCAAACTCTCACGTAGTTCAACATCAGGGATAGAATAGCCCCTTTGAACTCTTGCCATTTCTTCCATTTCTTTGTTGAAACCCTGAGGAAAGAACAATGGCAAATTGTCTCATAACAGACATAGCAGGGAAATGCAACTAACTCCAGCCAAACTTACGGCAAACTTTTCTTTGATGGTGTTTCTGTCTCTATCCCTCAACTTCCCAGATTGGAGAACAGAAGGTGGGATATCATCAACTGTAGAAATATAGTTAAGAACCCTACTCCAGCTGTGGTGGAATTTTTTTTCAATTACTACAGGAACATAATTTTTAAAAAGAGGATCAAACCTGATCTATTCTATCCAGTCACCTTTGAGTGTAGTCCTTTTTATGTTGCTGAATCATATCATGATACAATTGCTGGCAGTCCACCTCAGTCAGTTGAACAAGTTCAGATAGGCCTGATCTCTGCAGAGCTTTCAGAACATAATGGTTGTTGTTCAAACGGAAAACGGAACGAACAGCAACATCTCCATAAAGATCACTTTTACTGAGCAGAGTTGTGTTGAGCTGTGAAACCACTTTCTCTGCAACAATATGAAGGCGGCTTGCATTAGAGGACAGATATAGTTCACTATTATTGTCATTTTAATAAAACATATAAAAGTGGTCAAATGACTTTATATTTTTGAAAACTTACTGACATAAATTCCAAGGAGAGCTCTTGCTCGTTCTGTGCGGTTTGCCAGACCAGCATGATGTAATGCTGCCATATATGCTGGTTCTTTCTCCAAAACTCCTGCTATTGTATCAGCATAATCAAGTAATTGTTCTAAGAATACCAGAACATTACTGGTAAGTTCGTGCACTGTTCCATCCTTGGGCAGCTGAGCACTGGGATCAGCTCGAATGCTTTCAATAAGGTCCTCCAAAGCTTTGGCTCCCTGGGGATGAAAAAAAAAGGAGAATATTTCACTAAAGAAGGATCAGACAACATATAATTACTTAGTGCAAAAATACTTACTGTGCTATGAAGTGTGTTGAGGAGTGAATTAAATTTAGAGCGCACATTGTATTCACAGCCTTCAAGAATTTTTTCAAACTCAGGACGTAATGTAAGAAGGTGTTTCAGGATTGGAAATATGACAAGAACAGCACCATATTCCTGACGATTGATGCATCTTTTGGCACGGACAGCAATATTCTAGAATAAAATATTATAATAATTATTTTTGTTTGAAAAAATAAATGAGTTTGGAAAATTTTACAGCTATGCTAGATCACCTCTCCTTCCTGCACTATAGAATCTATGGCCTCTGAAACTATTGTTTCGAAGACATGAGGTTGGTGTGACAAAGGAATAATACCAGCCATGAGGACTCTTTCACTTTGCATGAGACGTTGCAGAGCCATGACACACACAAGGTAATTTTCCATTTCCACATCATCAACAACATCCTCTCGTTGTTCTGCTAAAATAAAAGACAAAAAATTTAAGTTTGTGATCCCAAGTACAGTAATTATGAGACTCCCTAAAAGTTAGAATTAATCATACCAAAATGGGAAGAGGCTCTTCTCGGACCAAAAGTAAGGCCTGTGGATTGCTCTAGAGTTTGAGAGGCCTTGAGAAACATCTTGTTGGCTTTTTTTTCTAACCTGTTACAATTGCAATTTCAGTTGAGAAAAAAAATCCACGTTTTGATGAAGTTGTAAATTTATTTCACTTACACATGCTGAAGGCGTCTGGATGCTCTACGATTGGGTGTTTCATGACGATTTTGGAATTTCTGACGCTAGAAATACACAATGTAACACTATAGAGCGGTGAAAGTATTAAACAAAAATTTAAGTTATTGTAGCACAAACATACATACCAGCATTGGGGAGCCAGCTGTATTCAAACCATGAGTGCTCCCACCACTATGGGTCTTCTGCTGCTCTCTAAGATTTGTCAAAGATTTCATCAAGACTCCAGCTCGATGTTTAGCATAAGTATTCATATAGTCATCACGATTATGAGCAATGAGCCAGTCAGCAATATGCACCAATTCTTGTATAACATTGTCAGGGAAAGGAGAAAGAGAAGGTGGAGCATCTTCTCCAGATGTGTCTGAAATTATTGAGAAGGATTAGTAAGGTAAAGGTGCTTCGAAAACTTGGTGAGAGACAAGACATTTCAGTTTGTTCACCTTCATCAGCAGCAACTAAATCTAGAAGTGTTATTGGGGGCACAGATTTACTATGACGAACCAAAATATCTTTGAACTCTCGATTCAAAGCATCACCACCAGATGTGAAGAGTGTAGTCTGCAAAAGTCCAGAGAAGAAGATTTAACAAGAGCACTTTCTTCATGCCAATTAATACTTTAAAAGTCACTGACCACATTTTCAAGTTCCACACTCTGTGGGTTGTTCTTTTCAAAATATTCTTGAGCTGATTGAAGTCTGTCCATTGCCTTGAGGAAGGGCTCCAGAGATGGAATGCCATTTTGAGAGGGACCAGGACCCATTCGAATGATCGGCTCTACTTCTTGACTGACGCTGTAAAAGCTTATCACATGCTCAAGAGCCACAAGCGTTCTTTCAACATCTGATACTCATTAAGGAAACTTTTCCAAAGATCAGAAGGGGGGATAAGTGAGATAAGAAACTCTGAGTAGCTTGAAAGGATACTTTCTTGCTGACGCTGTAGATTCCCTGTTTCATTGTAGACAGGGAGAATCGTTTCCTCCAGCCGAGCTAGTCGATGTTCAAAACTTGATAAAATGTTGGTTATTCCTTTGGTAAGTTGGTTACTTTTGCTCACCCTTTCTTTGAGCAAATTAAGATTTCCAAGTTCCTGAGAATTTGATACATACAGAATTTATTGAAATAGTAGTCAAAAATAAACAGGCAATAGAAAAGAAAATCAAGTAAACAAATAAAGCAAAGTACTCAAGATCAGAGAGGTCAGAAAGGGGTGTATTCTGTTCATTAAGGTTAGATGATCAGTTAACTACACTAAGAACAATGATGGCTCTCTAAAACATGGAACACTAGCCTAACCTTTTCAAGCTTCGTCTCTATCTCAAACTTCCTTTCACTAGATTCGTTCATGACTCGATTCGGAACGTCCAATTGATCTGTATAATTCTATCTAGTGCAGTTTTCATTCATTGACAGGTGACAGCAACAACAACAAAACCCGTCTCGTATGTCCTGCAAATAACACTATTTTCGCCTATGCACAGAGAGATTGTTTTTGTTTTGTTAGTGCTGTCAAGTCAAGCAGACGCCGTCAGAGGGGCCAAAGGGTTATCGTTTCGTGGAGTTTCAATTGCCGGAGTTGAATTTCGGTGTTACATTGTGTCTAAAGTGAATTGGAAGTCGCAAAAGAGCACAACTGCAGCCATAGTTTATGTCAATATCAACGGCGCCAAACAACTTGAGTGGGTGTTTGGACTGCAAGTTGGGTGTAGACAAAGTGAACACCCCTTGGTTTCAGAATTTGCTCACCCCTTATCTTTGTGCAACTCGGTACATTTTGAACCAAGTCAGTTCTTTTGGCAATTAAGTAGATTTGTCTTTTCTGTGACCCCTTTGTGATTATTTGAGGTGGCACACAACCAGTTATGGGTAGAAATCGCAACGATAGTGGTGGTTCCTTCAGCCATGCACAGATGCGGGCAAGCTTTGCAGACATGTACAGAAAACGTATTGGTAAGAGCATGAAAGTAAGAACAAATAATTGAACGAAAAAACAAAACAACAGCTTACTTTAATTTGCATTTACCAGGACATCAAGATGTTAAAAAAAATGTTAAAGTTGACAAAGAAACAATTAAAAAACATGACATGAAGATAAATTCATCGACCATTTATAGGGTAAGAGGAATAAACAGTCTCTCTCTTTTTTTTTTTTTTTTCAATTTGGAAGCAAATAAAAAATTGACAGTGATAAAATTCTCCTTACAGGACATTTTTATAATGATTGGTGTTCTGCTCTTGATCTTCTGCTCACTGTATTATGTATTGAATGTCATACTTGTGGAGTTAGATGACCTTCTCCCAACTCACACAGTCAAGAATGAAGTGTAGAAATGAAGAACACTGGAAAACTGTGTTATTTAACTGGACATACTTCTCCTTGTGATGTGAAGTAAGAACATATATACAGTTTGGTTGTTTTGTTTACCCCATTTTTCTTGAAATCAAAAAGAGTAGTTAGCATTTAAGAGATATTGTAATGGATTATTTCGCATCATTAAAATTTGCAATCAGACATGATCCTGACTAATTAACCTTCTCACAATACAGAACCACACAATGGAAAAGAATTCAATTGAACTTTGTTAACACAGTAAAAAAAGCACTTACAATCCTTAATCTTAAATGAGATGAATTTATAAACTGTTTATAAACAGTTGTAATTTACACCAAAGCTGTTTCAATCAACATCAGTACACAATGTGCCTCAATTATATCACAGACAACTGGGAAACAATACTTAATTTAATAAAGGAATTAATCTAGGGTTATTATATCAAAGTTTGGGTCAGCTCTCTTCTTGGTTTCTGAGTTTTCCGCAGAGTCACTGCCTGGTGTGGAATGTAATGAGGACGAAGAAATTTTGCTAATTGATATGGCTGAATTAGACGTCTGCCCACTTGAAGCTTGTGTCTTCTGAAGCTTATTGGGGGGCTGAGGCCTAGGAGTTGGCATTTCTTGCTGATGAGGTGAAGTGGGTTGCGCCCTTTGTTTAATTTGCAATCCAGGCAACCGAGAGAGGAGAGCAGCAGGATTGTTGAGCGGTGCATTAGTCTGTGATTGAGGTGCAAAAGGTCTCGGCTGAGGTGAAAAGGCACCAGCGCTGGTCGCGGGTCCTTTCAGTCTCGGGCCTTCTTTCCTCACCGCACCCGAATTGGGATTGAGTATGCTTCGAGGATCAGTTGCACCAGGCATGGGTCTGGGCACATTATGACGAGGCCTTTGTTGCCATCCAGTTTGACCAGTCATCAGAACATCTCCCATACTCATTGTTGTGTTTGGGTAAGGACTTCCTGTCCTCACAGGTGGAGCAGATGTTGAAGTTGGGGGAGGTGTGGAGGCAGAACCTGTACTCTGACCTGTTGATTTATTGGCCTGTAAAGCTGTGATCGAAAGTGCTGGACGGTCTTTAATGATAGATGATACGACAGTCGTTTGGGCACCAGTGCCTTGCTGAGGACGCCGCTGTTTCTGCAAGTACAAACAGTCAGTTTTAATGAAAGGGAAAGGGAAAGGCTATTCAAGACTTTACCCTTACACTGCAAAAGCTACCTGCTGTTGTTTCATCACTTTAGGCTTGGAACTATCCATGGAGCTTTGCCCGGACGGCGCCCCTGCCACGTTCACGTTCGCAAGGCCCATCATGTGAGCCATGTTCATCATAGCATTGTGCAGCCGTTGTTGGGCTTTGGGGGGCCGGCCTCGCCCACGATACAGTGGCATCTGCGGCAGGAACATGGAAGTTGCCATGGAACTCACCATGGCGTTGGCCATAGCGTTTGCTCTGGCATCTGCCAAAGGATTTCTGAGAGGAGTGTTGCCCACTGCTGGGAACCTCTGTGATAATGGGTTGAATGGTAAGGCTGATGACATCACCCCCATCTACGATAGAAAACCAAAATGACATCACAAAATTGCAATCACACTTATGCTAATAAATAGTGTTTCTCTATTTTGTTTCACCCACCTGCATGGCCTGTGCCAGGGCTTGCGCTTGTAATTGATCTTGAACCTGGGCTTGCACCTGCACTTGAGAGTGAACTTGTCCTTGCTGAGCTTGTGCTAGTGCCTGTGCTCTTGCTTTGGCATCAGCAATGGCCCTTCGACTACTCAATTCTTTCGAGCAGAAATCAACAGCTGCCTCATAGTAAGACTGCTGGTCACCCTGATCCTAAAAATAAGCTCAGTGTGCTTAAAGGGATCCAGCTTCATGCAAACAAAAAATAAATTTGTTATGGTATCACCTATCTTACTTACCCCCTTGAATTTTTTGTAAGCATCACTCAGCAGTCCCTTAAAAGCTGCTTCTTTCAGCGGCAATTCTTTAATACCATCTTTTACAGTACGATACAACTCAATTACATGGTCTGCAGTTCGAGTCTCATTGACACATTCTCGCATGGCAGCTAAGCACAAAACAAGAGCTTGCTTGGACAAATCAGCTCGTTCATTGTCACGTAAGTATTTCCTGCAAAAATGGTAATTTTAGTAAAAGCAACACTAAATTTAAGCAGAATTGCACATAGACCAAAAATAAATTACTTGTCTTTTTTTTCCGGATCTCTTTTTAGGAAGATACTTAATTTTAAAAGAAAAGCATGGTCTCGCAAGGCTCGTAACAGTTCCATTAGCAAATGAACACATCTACTCATATGTGATGCAAAACTGCCAGCACGATCAATTTCTTCAATAGGGATCCGCCAAACATCCTTATAGAAATGATAATTAAAAAAGATCAGAACATTTTGACGGAAGTAGAAGCCTCAACAGAGATAAACACTCACATTAAACATGGAATGAACACCATTGCTTTTGAAAAGTCCACTTATGAGTTTAGTGGATTGAGATAATCTATTATCGCCAAGTAAAAGCTGACGACACTTTTTATAATTACGATGATGCTTTGACCGGAAATAGTGGTGGCACAATCTATAAAAAGACTTGTAATGTCTTGGGTAACGTGCTAGGCATTCTTCCATGGCCACTAGGCATTGATTAATCAAGTCTGCATGATCTGCAAGAACAAAAAAAAATATAGTCATACACAACCTGAAAAAAAGTTTAAAAAATGTAAAATTCAAAAAAAGAATCCCTGTAAAGAACAACATACTCAAACTTCTTTCACTTGGAGACTTTTGATCCACCACAGGTTTAACAAAAGAAGGTGCATCTCTACTTTCCTTTGTTGAATCCTAAAATATACCAATGTAACAAATATTTCAATAAAGAATGAAACCTGCATAATATTAAGAAATATTCATCACCAAGCAGAATATACCTGAGAGCTGCTCTTTTGTGCCACACTGTCCTGGGTAGATTGTTCAACAGCAATTGCTTCACTGTTCGAGCAGTAAGATGAAGGTGATGAACTGCCTGGTTCTTTGACTACAATATTGTCTTTTTCCTTTGCTTCAGCACCTACTTGGCTAGCTGCAAAGAAAAATACAGGTGTTCGATCTTTAATAGGAACTGAACAATATTTTTAAACTAGTCTAATAATAAGTATCAGATTTCAGTCCAGTCCCAATTAAGTTCAAAGATTAGAACAGTGTTCTTCCTAATGATAGGATGCTATGATTTACATTCTGTTACAAAATGCTCATCTTACGGACACAAAGCATGAAGACGAGAAGAGCAGAAGCAGAATACAAGCCTTAAACAGTGTATACACAAACATTATTATAATTATTATTAATAATGACAATTCAAACCATGCACACCATGCCACCCCATAGCTACAGCATAAAATTAAATGTGGATTTTCAATAAACCAATATTTTTGTGTAATTGTAAAACGACAACAAAAAAAAGCTCATAGCAAATATAGAAATTAAGTATAGTATTACCATAAGCTGAATAAACAGTATTATAACAATGAATTACTAAAGCTTACTTTTGATTGCAACAATTCAAAAACTCTGCTCCAGACACTTTTGTGGTTATGAATGAATGAGTGTGCACATGAAAAGGATAGAACATACACAAGAAGTAACTCACCACAACCTGTGACTGAGCAGCCATCAAAGATCATTTTCTCAGCAGAGGGAATATCATGTTTCGTTAACTCTACAGGAATCACTTGTACTTCAGTCTTGACAATATGGTGTGGTACTCCTTCTCGACTACAACTACTCTGTCTAATCTCAGTATAGGAAGTTTCAATATCTGTGCTAATTTTGTTGAGAATTTTATGTTTTTCTTTGTTTGTATCGCAAAATGATGTAAATGGAACTGAGCAGTCAGAAGATATAACATCAATTTGTGGAACTGGGATTTTATCACTACTGGAAGAAACATGTTTGAAATTTAAGGTTTCTAAACCTTTGCATGTAGCTGTATTACTATCCAAAATAAACTGCTTTAAACAAGGTTGACTCTGCTTAAGTGCAGCATCCTCATATGGTGCGGCGTAATCATGCTCCGCAACTATAGACAAAATACCATGCATTGGTTCATCAGTACTTAAGTCCACACCAGGAGAATCCTTATCCAAACCAGGAGAAATATCTACAATCTCAACAGGACTAGAATTTTTAATACTACTCAAATCAGCTTTTGGTTTAGTTGGACAGCCCACTGGAGCAATAGCCAAACCAGAAAATATTGAAGTCTTACTTTGGCAACTCTCAGATTCAGTTTCCTTGGGAGAAGTCTCATCAGATTTTCCTTCTATAGCACTAGAATTGCTGGCAGTTCCTAACGTAATCTCACAATCTGTATCCATATTCTCAGAGATGTTAGTTACAGAAGGCATGACATCCTTCTTTGATAGGTCTATTTGTTTTGGCTGACCATTTGTGGTGACCAAAGAGTTATCTGATTGACTTAGGTTGATCTCTTGGCCACTGTGCACAACTTCCATAGAGCTTTTACTGTCCATGTTAACAGCAACATCCTTATCTTCTGTTTTTGGTAGTTGGCTATCCTGCTCTGTGTTATGATCTATCATCACCTGTTCACAAAACAAACCAATGACCAAGTACTTTTATACTGTAAGATATGCATAATGAACTCAGTAAAATAATTACTTACAACAGATTCATCCAACTTTATCTTTTTTACCATGTTTTCCACTGGGTCCACGGATTGCCTCTTTGCACTGGAATTAAACAAAAGAAACAACAATAACTATAAGTAAGGAAGAAAATACAAAAACACATTGGCAGGAATAAAGTCAAAGGACACAAAGAAACAAAATTACTTACAATGTTTGTTGTGGTATTCCTCGAGCAGCCATAAAAGGGCCTTTTGCTGCCTCATCAAGAGTTTCATTATACAGGACTTCTATTTCTTCACTAAGGCATTTTCCTTCCATTAATTCTAAGTGTTTTAAAATTGATGCATGAATTCGATAATGCACCTTGACAAAAGAAAACAGAATGTACTGTACACAATATGGCTTGCAAAGATGATGAAAATACCAGGCCGCTTTGAAAAATGTCAATGTGTACCTCATGTGCTTCAAAAGCATAGTGTTGTGGTGGATCATAGTTCAGACTTAAAGGATATACTGCGTTCGAGTCAAACAGAAGTTTTGCTGCCGCTCTATAGTGTTGTAAGAATACAACAGGGGCTTCCCCACGTTTCTCTGCAACTTTGCCTAACATATATTGTGGGAGCCAAGGTTCTTCCTGGTCAAGCTGCAGTGGAAAATTTTTAAAAATTTCATATTACCAAGAATTTTTTTTAAAAAAGTTTGTCTAATTGAGACAATTGAGCTAAAAATAAGCTCTGTGAAATAATCCAACATTACCTTTTCAACAGTTTTGAAACATTGTTCCGTTATACCCAACATTTTGTCTTTTTCCTCCTCTATTTTTGTAAACATTTCCATGCTAAGACTATCAGTTTCCTGAAATAAATGTAGCAATAACAATAACCAAAGATCAAACATTTTCTTGTTTTCTTCAAAATTGAAATAAGTGTCAACATTATTGACTTACGGTTTTCAAAAGACGAGAACAGAATGAATGCACTGTGTAAGCAAAACTTCCAAATTCAATCCACATTGTAGTATTTTCTGGATCTAAATCAACAGCCCTTTGGAAACACCGCTGAGCCTTGGTCTTACGATTTAACTGAACATCATTATCAAAAGTGTCACAGGAGTTCAAATCACTTGTCAGAGCAGCAGCCCTTGCAAGCGCCATTCCCGCCCAAGAATCAAAACGATGTGGGTTAAGACATACATCTAGCATGTAATACTTGATTGCTGGTTCCCACTTGAAAGTCTTCATATAATAGTTTGCCAAGTGGTAATAAAGGTTACAAGCTGCTTGAGGAATAGAACATTGTACTTCGGGTAAATTTTTTGTTGATCCCTTGAGGAATGCTTTCACCTTACTCAAGTAACGATTGGGATTGCTTTCATTGGGAACCAGCTGTGAAATTTTCAAGAAAAGCTGCTCTTCTTCAGGAGTAATCTTTGAAATAGAATCAAAGGTAGGAAGTTCATCCGGCTCATAAAACCTCAACAATGCTAAACTTCTATCCCAGGTTAATTCAATTTGTTGATGCACTCCATGGTCCTACAAGTTCAACAAAAACAAATAATAAAGTGCAATAAGGGAAAAATCAATTTAAATATTGTACAATTGCACGCTACTCGCAACTCACTCGAAGCCTTTTTCTGCTTCTCTCCACCGGCTTTTTTGGATGCCCATAAAGACATAGGATTGCCTGGTCTACTTCGTGATTAAGCTGGTCACGTACTCTTTCTCGTTTCTCAGTTTGTAGGTGGGTGACAACAACATCTAAAATGAGGTTTAAAAGAATACCTTCATTTAGACAGCAGCGGCCCTTCCTATAAGAAAGACATATTTAAAATGAACACCATTGTGAAAATATCAAATATATAGAGTTGACAATGTGAATCATGAAAACAATCTATACTTAAACCTACTTAGCCATATATTCATGAGCTTCAAAAAGAACTTCTATGTGCGAAGGGGCACAATCTTGCTCAATAGGGTGCTGCTGTTCTTCAAAGAACACAATCCTGTGTAGGATGACCCATGGTGTGGTGCATTCAATTGCCATTCCAACAGAACAATCACTTTGTTCCAACTGATGGCAAAGTATTGTAGTCAGTGTTTGTACCAAACGAGTAAGACAGTTCTTTGGCAACTTTTCCACTAAAAAAAAATAAAAAAATAGAGAAGTGCACAGTGTGTAACATACATTGATCTGGTTAAAATCAAAAATAAGTAAACACTGTACAAGAACAGGAACATACTCAATTTCAGGCCAGCCATTTTAAGGCAATCATTCAAGCCAGCCAACAACCTTTCAACTGCAGTTGCCCACATTTGATGGTCTTCTTGGTCTTGTGATGCATTGTCTGAATCAGTTGAGTTGAGGTAACGATTGAAGGCTTCATGAAGGCACGCTTCTCCCCAGTAAAAGCAGTCCTAGCACAGAAAAATTAACATGAGTATCACCAATACTTGTCTCAAATCAATTAAAATGCAGCATCACGCTTACAGGGTACTTTTTGAGTTGCCATAAGGAATCCAGAAGCATTGCCATTTGAGTTGCTCTGTCAGGCAGATTATCAATTTCTGAATTATCATTATCGGTTTGCTGTGCACAGAATTTGAAACACTCTTTTAAGGTACCAGCCAGTAGTTCATACTGTCTACTTTGATACAAATCATCTATTTCACTCAGCTGTTGTTGCCTGATTCAAGGGGGAAAATCAAAATGAACATGGTAAGGAAGGTGACCAGAAGATGGTCAGAACAAACAAATTCAATTGCCAATTTACCTAGTTAGGGAGGTAAGAAGCTTTTGAGTACTCCGTTTTGTTATTTCTTGATTGACAGAACAATTGGGCAAAATAACAATGAATGGTTTCGTCTTAGCTGTAAGTGCAGATGAGCTCCCTGATTGTTCACTTTCGACATTTGATTTATGAATACCTGATGACATGTCTGTTTCAAGAGGGGGACTAATCGATTCAATTTGTATGTTACAAGATGGATCTGACTCATATTGTTCCTTTTGGCTATTTTCATGAAGCTGATCAGTTTGTTTAACTTCATTCACATGTTGATCTGGCTTTTCAATGGTCAGTTCTTCATTATCATTGGTAGACTGCACAGCCCTACTGGATTCACCAACTTCTGCACCAGTTTCCTGAGAAATAGTATCTCTTGATTGAAGGCTACTTGTTTCATCTGTCAATGATTCCTTCACAGTATCTTCTTCCATTTGATTGATTTTCTCTTCTTTCAATGGTAAAGAGGTGAACAATGAATTTTCATTTTCACAATTCACTTTTTCAAGATTTGATACTGAAGGAGCAACAATTTCAGTTTTCTCAGTGATTGATTCAGCAGAAGTTAATTCTTCTAAAGTCTGTTCATCTTTTATGATACTGTGATTGTGCTCAGGTACTTCACTCATTTCACCTTGAGAAACATTTTCATTTTTCTCAGTGACTGATTCAGCAGAAGCTAATTCTTCCAAACTCTGCTCATCTTTTACCATACTGAGATCGTGCTCAGGTACTTCGTTCATTTGACCATCTGTTTCAGTCTTATCACTAACCACTCCAGGAGAAACAATACTATGGTTAGGATCATGTGGATTATTTTGTTCACAAGCAACTGCCGGATCTTCAGTCATACAAGCATCTAAGTTTTCTTCATTTTGAGATTTTTCTTCAGTTGATAGTTGCTCAGCCTTAACTTCTTCAGAAGTTTTACTTTGTATATCAGTGCTAGTTATTTCTTTTGAACTGGAGTGAGAATCATCTACAGAGCTTAGTGTAGAACCCACCATTTCAACTATTTCCAAACTATCCAAAACCTAAAAAAGCATCACAAAAAAAAAAAAATTATTTAAGTTATACCTTATGCAATTAAAAAATAAACCAAGTATGTATGAAGCATTGCTTACACATTGAAGGGAATAAATAGCAGATGCGGAATCTTCTAGCAAAAGGAAGAGATGAGCTTTTAACCAATTGATACGAAGTAATATTCTGCACTGCTCTGATGGAGAGGTAAAGATGTGATTTAATCCAGACAGAGCTGATATGTTTCCAAGAGCTTCAGAAAATGTTAGCCCACTTTCCCTACATATTAAGAAAAGATAAGAAAAATTTACAAATATAAGTAAAACAAGCAACTCTATACATTTTAATACTTTCTTCTTCTTTTATTATGAAATATAAATACAAACCCAAGGTTATAAGAATCACTTAGACTTTTTTGGTGCCACATATCTACACACAACTCACAGTATAGAAGGGATTCAAGCACATCTATTATACTTAAACACCCTGGGACAGTTCCATCAAAGGGTGATGGACTTGAAATATGCTTCCTGTAAACATAAATATTTACCAATCAACACTTTTTTATACTGATCAACTGAGAGATAGAATCCAACATAAGACTAAACCAAATGAACTCTCCAACATACCGCATACATTCATACAAGCCAACATAAATGGGCACTAGTCCAGGGGGCCATGTAAGATCATGTTTTTCTGCTAGCTGCCTGATGAATTTCATAATGAGTTGAATGATGTTATTTGTTTCAGACCCATCTTTCTCAACCATGGCCTTGACCTCAGATACTTCTTTTTCGGTTCCATAATAACTTTCCTGAAGAATTCGCCTAAAAATGAAATTAATGAAAATCAGGTAAGGTGAAGTAACGGAAACAATTACTTAAGTTGTTTCAAGTATGTGAAACCTACTGCGGAATATTATCCTTGGCATGAAGTCCAAGTTTCCTCTTTTGAGCATCTTTGGCATCACGTTCCTGAAGCAGTCTACACAATTCAATGGCATCCATGGAATCATCTCCCCATGATAGAATTTCGTTTGGATCTCGCAGGGACCGTCTCCTACTTGCTTTAGCTAATTCGGCCTCTAGATCTTTGGGCCTAAGGATGAAAATTTAAGAATTCAAAATGTGTTTGAGTAGTTAAGAAATGAAAAAAATTGTGCAAGACAATAACTTACAACAAGGAGTCAGGGAGCAGAGAGCGAAAACGAGATGCTAAATTTGATTCCTCTCTTTCTTCAGCTTTGCGTCCTGAGCGCCTTCCTGAGCGACGTTTGCTCCACTGATCCATCAAAGTGGTTGAAGTCTTTTTCCGTTTCTGTTTTAAAGCTGCTGAGTTTTGTTGCACAGAAGACAATGTTCTAGCCTCTTCTTCTTGCTCAAGACCTGATGCTTCCGTAGCATCTTCTTCAGTTTGATCTTCTCCTTTCGCCTCCTGCTCACTATCAACATCCATTGGCTCACTTTCAATATCAAGTACACCAGGTTGAGCAACAATATCTTCACCTGTCGTATTATTCGTGTTTTGCTTGCCAGTAGGATGAATATCAGAGTGTTCAGGAGACTCTGAAGCATTGATCTTCACAAAATCCAAGAAGCTCTATGCAAAAATCTTAGTTAGTGAAAAGAACAGAATCCAAGAAAAGATTTTAAAAAGATTACGTCATGCATGCAGTACTTCATACCTTGCCCTGTGAGCACGAAATTAAATTGTGCACTTCCAGCAAATTTTTACCTAGATCCTCCCAGGTATTGGATTGAAGTTTTATAGCAATCTTTGCACAGTGCAAATCTTCTTTTAAAGGTTCAGATATTTTTGATCTATATCGCTCTTGAAGAGACAATGCATGAGAAATAAGATTGGACAATTCTTCTTCTGGTATGTCACAACACACTTCAGAAATATCTCTAGATAAGAACAAAATACAACATAATTCAAGACAGATCAAAAATATCCACTCATAATTTTAGAGTAGTGCAACTACCTTTCTCCAGGAAAAAAGAATTTGAAGTTTTGTATGAGATTTCTATCTTCCTTGGCAATTTGGTTCTGAAGTGCCAAGGCCTGAGGGTATTCTGCATCAAGCTCAAGAGTGCGTGACACAAGCAGTAAGCATCCCAAGTAATCATTCAATGCATACAGCAAAGGCAAAAGCAAATCCAAACAGGGCCAATGGCGTGAATTACATCGAAGACCCTACAAGGAGAGATTAAGTATGTTTCAAATAAGTCTTAAAAAGTATTAGTCAGGTTCAAATTCTCACTTTCTTTCCAGCCAAAAACAAACCTCTTGGAAAGCACGACTTGCCAGATGAAAATCATCAATTTGAAGTGCCACTTTGCCCATCTGATGCCACATAGTCACATCTGAATTGTCAAGTTCAACAGCTTGAATAAAACATTTAAGGCCATCTTCGGCACGGTTTTGAAGGACTAAAACATTGCCTAAATTTTTTAAACATGCATACTTGAGTGCAGCTGCTGGACGTGCATGTCCATCAGAGAGCTCCTCAGGGGAAACCTGATAAAGTTAGAAGAGCTTCAGGTTATTAGTAGGAAGGTGATGTATAGTAGATGTAAGTAGTATACAAACTTACGTTTGCTAAGAAATCGTCATTGAGGATGGATATTAACAACTCTTCAGCATCAGAATAACTACCTCTTTGACGTAACTCCAAAGCCCTTTTGTAAAGTGAGAATGCCCGGTCCTCCTACAAAGGAAAAAAAAAGGTGGTTCGTGAACTTAGTGAGGTCAAAAATACTGTACATATTGGATCATCCCCAAATAAATGTATTGAACTAAGGAAGTCAATGACCAGTTCTCTACTCAAAGAAAGTTGAGTCGAAAATTGACAATGCCTTTCTCTCTTTTCTGACCTGCGCTTCGATGGTCTCCTTCTCCTCGTTATCCTCCTCACTTTCGTCGGATGAACTTTCATTGAGAGCTCTGAGGCGCGGCATTTCGTACTTGACAAACTCTTGCAAGTAAATAGAACAGTATAACCTCCAACAACTGTTATGAAACCCAGTGAAATGAAAGTGCACACTTCATCAAGGTAATCTACGAGCAACCATTGAAAGACGGTTTTCTTCCAACGAATTCAAAAAGTACGCCGGTGCCTTGACACAAAAAGCTTTCGGTTCTACTCTACAATTCCATAACTAAGCAGGCAAAACGAGTCGAAAACACTTTGGAACTAAATTTCTCATCTACAGCTTCCCTCCAAGATGGCAACTTAGTGGCAACTGGTGGCAACCAGCAAACAGCAAATCCAGACCCATTTTAACTTATCTCTCATCTGATATTTCAAAAACGTAAGCCCGTAACTATATTATTTTAATTTTTTTACCATGCTTATAATTCCTCGTACCTAATTCAAACAGGTGAGCTCAAACTTATGTTTCATACCTTAGACTCCCTGTTGTATGAAAAATACAAACAATGATGGCTGCACAGTGGACATGAGAGGTTAAGATTTCTTTAGCCAAAACAACAGTTTTATCGTAATAACCATGACGGTCATGTGTCTCCTTGTAAGAGGACACACACGGACCAGAAATGCCAAAGTGTTTTCAAATATCGCTTATCAAAAGCGGAAGTCTGACAAACCCGAACCATCGCCCAAAGTAACCAACATACAACGTGATAGCGGTGAGCCCTCACTCATTGGTGTAATGTTATGGTTTCGAAAATTTTAAGGTTGTTTCTTCCCTGTTTTTCTACATTTTCATCTAGTGAAGCCCTCATTCTGGCAAACCCTCACAATCTTCTAGAAATATTCTTTTTTAGAACTTGTAGACATGATTCAGTTGCAATGAAACTCTTTCACTCTACTATTTTCTTGTCTGCATTCAAAACTGTTCTTCTCTTTAAACCAGTAATTGTTGAACAATTGACTCAGTTGGTTGTTTATCGGGATCTTAGTTGTAAATCTTCTAGCTTTGTTGAAACCATCCACTCTTTTTATCAAAATTCTTTGGTTAATACATAATTGTGACACTGACTAATCTGTTCCGTTAATGTATTCCTCATATGTTTGGGGCTGAAGGAAAGTGTTTTGATGACTTAAATTTTGTCTTTACAGCAGTAAATATAGAAACTAAGAATGTGGACACTAAGCCTGTTGTCAACAAGACTTTCGTACCCTTTTATGAAATGTTATTAAGAAGAAGGGATGAAGCTCGTAGAAGCATACTAATGGAAATTGAAGGGCTGCAAGATGCAGGACGTGTAAAACAGTTTTGTACCAAGATAGGGCCCGTGAAGCACTGCTTCTTTTACAGAAGGCCTGGGAAGGTAAGCAAAAGCACAAGTAGTCCACATTATCATTAAGTGGGACACAGCTCCATTATTTGTTTAATTTTAAAACATTATTTAGATCCAGCACTTAATGTGTTTGACTTTGTTTCAGATTTAATGTGCCATTATTCACACTGTTCTTTGTTTTTTCAGAACTTTGTCTTGGTTGAGTTCCAAACTGCTGTAAGCAAGATGAAAACAATGGAAAATTCTTATGATTCAAAAGACCCACAGTCCATACCTGTCTTCTCTCCATTTCTTTATTTTCAATCGGACCCTCAAAGTGGAAGAAGTCAAGCTCTAACTGATCTTACTGAGGACATCCAATGCAAAGAACAAGCAGCTCTAAAAGAACTCAAAGATCTCCAATGTAGCAGCAAAGTGAGTGTTTTGCTTAAGTGTGCATCTCATTTTATTTAAATGCAATTCTTTATTTTGTTTATTTCCAGAACCGCCTGAGGATGGAAATGGATCATTTGTATAAGAAATCCAAAATATCAGATTTAAGCATAAGACTCCGGTACTTTACTTGCCACCAGTTGGATCTGGCACTAGAGGGGCTATTCAGGGATGTGAAAGCCCTCCCATTTGGGTCCACAGTCAGTGGGTTCGGACGTAATTCAGGAGATCTTGACATTTACCTTCATTTTAAGAAGAACCTTTGTCAGGTGGTATGTATGCAATGCCTTAATTTTACATTTCAATGTCCTGTTTACAATGTCATGATTTTAACAATTTGCTCTAGATTAAAGACGACACATCCAAGTTATTTTTCCACTCCAAATCTTGGGTTCGGGATAAAAGTATGCAATTGAAGCTCATAAGTGATTTAATAAGTCTCTTGCTCCCTGGCTGCACAAATGTGGTAAGCATCCTAGGAGCTCGGGTACCAATTATCAAGTATCACCAAATCATGACCAATGTGGAGTGTGACATTCAAAACTCTTCAGCGTAAGTATTTTCTTATTAATTTGGCTTTGATCAAATTTCTTCTCTCAATTTTTGTGCTCAATGACAAGTGATAGCATAGTGCTTAATTGTACGCATCTCTCATTGCAGTGCAGGTGTTGATACCAGTCACATTTTATATACAATGAATAAATGGGATCTTCGTGTAGCCCCTCTTGTCTACTCACTAAGGCTCTGGGCTGCTCAGAATAATATTACTTGTGTGAAAAAACCTTCACCTTACATCACTAATTTTTCTCTGATGCTGATGGTCATATTTTTCCTTCAAACTGAACAGATTCTACCATCTCTACACTCTTTTAGTAGACTACCAAGTAAGTGCCTTAGCAGACAACTTTTATTAATAACCACGATGGCCATCAGAAATATTGGCAATAGATATGCTAGTTATGCCCAATTTAAACAATCATCTTATTCTTTGTCTTCTGCAGCTACTTTAACTTCTTCAAGTTTTGATCCTGATGCAGAATTGTTCTTTCCTGACTTGAGGAGGGTGGAAAAGGGCCTATTGTCAGGTGGAAATGAAGAGAAAATTGATAGTTTGCTTGTCAAGTTTTTCATGTTCTATTCAACTTTCAGTTTTGAGAAAAACAAAATTTCTGTCTACCATGGTAAAGTAATGCCCAAATCATCAAGGTTAATTTTAGAGATAGAGAACCCCACTAATCCCTCTCTGAATGTCGCAAAAAATGTGAGTATCTTTCATGCTAACAAACTGAGCTCTACAAATGTTTGAGATGTCTTTATCAATCTTGTGACCTGTATCGCAGGTGAGGCCTGAATACCTTCAGGTATTCCAGATAGCTGCAAGAGAGGCCGCAAAAGTGCTGGGTGAACGAGAATTTCAATCAAAAAGCCTCCTAGATGTCATTCCACTTACAAGGTGGGTCATTCAACTAAGATTTTGTAAATTCAGTCAGACCAAATTGCTTGGTTTTACCTCCATTCTCCTTTTCCAGGCATGACATGAATGGAAGTGTGCAGGAAAGGGGAAACAGAAATAGAAATGCAAATAATAATTAGACAAATGTTCAGTATTTGTACAATCTGTATTGGGATTATTTTCTTGACAAATCCATCCCTTTTATGAGTAGACACATTACAAATAATCACAAATTGGAAAAGATACAAGTTAAAAAATTTAATGGAGAGCCCCATTACATAAATGAGACATAAGATTACACAGACTTCACCCTGCACGAAAGCTACAAATGCTTAGTTCTTCCGATCAAACATGTTATTCTCCAGCATCTCATTTCAACAGACCATTAGGAAATGTTTTTTAATGACTTTCCCCTTTCTTTCCAGCAACTCTCTTAAAGTCTGTCATATTGGTGGTTTCAATAGGTGAACCGATAAATGAAAGATGCTGAATTTGAGTTGTTTCCTCATTCCCTTGATTGTTCTGAATGAACACTTGAACATTTTGAACATTCTGGAATTTCACATAGCGTAGATTTATTGGAGTTCCGCTCAAATCTTCAGGCTTCAGTCTGGGGAAAAAATAAATCCATTTAGTAAAACATAAAAATTTATACCTTTCAGAAACCGCTATAAATGGAAAACCTAACCATGATATACAATATAACAGATTATTTAAAAAAATGAGGCAGAAAAACTTACTCCAGTTCTTGTATGGGTTGGTTTGAGTCAGCTGAATCAAAGTCCAAAGTTCTGGGTTGGTTGATGAAAATCTTCAATTTCTTAGGACCTTTGTCACTAGGTGCTTTGACTTTAAGGGAATGCAATTTAATTGCTTGGTTGAATGCAACAGATATGATGAGCTGCAACAAGTTAGAAGTAATGTAAGAAAAAAACTGCTAGAATGACACCAACTATGCTAGAAGTAAGATTTTTGTTGAAGTACTTAAATTACCTGCTCATCACAATCTGACTCGAGATATGTTGGACTGTTGGTCAAACAGTTGGTGAAGGGATGGTCATCAGCTTCATTCAAGCACTCGCATTCATTTTTGGCTATGAAAGGACTGAGATCCATCTAGACAAAGGATAACATATTATGTATTATGGTGCACAGAATTTTAACCGTGAATATACACTTAAATTTGACATACGTGTCCAGCAACACCATCTTCTTCCTCTTCATCAGCATCGCCAGAACCATACAGCTGTTGAATTTTAGACTCCAGACCAGAGGGATTTGCACCCTGCATACGATCCACCTTAGTCTGTAATACATTAATATGAGGTAAATGCCATCATGTTTTGTTTCTTTCCAATCAATCAATGCTGAAACTTAGATTGTCCCAACCTTGTTCCTGTAAAAAATGAATGTAGGCATAGCAGATACACCTTGCGCTGCTGCAGTTTCTTGGCACTTGTCAACGTCCACCTTGAGGAATACAGCTCGGGGATACTTCCCAGCAAGCTGCTCAAACACTGGAGCAATCATCTGACACGGACCACACCTGGTGAGAATAAAAAGGAATTAAAACAGAAACGGACTCATTTAAAAAAGAATTGGAATTATCACAAAAAATAATCACACATGCAGTATCACTTTATTTAAAAAGGATAGACAGTACAGTGTATGAAATGAAATCTTAGTGATAAAATGCTAAAGCACATCCCATGAAACAACAAAGAAATCAGTCACAAACATTATAAATAATATTAGGTTAGAGGGAAGTTACAGGTTAGACCATGACATTTAGAAATTTAGTAAAGTCTAAAGAAAATATAGTACAAAAATCAAAAAAATAAATTGAATGAAGGGAAGAATAATTCCAAATCTTACCAGGTTGCTGTGAAATCGACAACAACTAACTTAGATCCGGAAGCCGACAGTTCGCCATGGAAATGATTGTCATCATTTATAACTCTTACGGCCATTGCGATGTAGGTCTTTTTCTAAATACCAATAGAGACGTCGAAATTAGGAGGATATGAGATGAAAATGAAGTTTCAGAAAAAATAAGCAACCCGTCATACGGCAATGACTCGCTGAAAATGAATGAATGTGTCAGGTCAGGCCACTTCACAATTGTGAAACCAAAACCTGCCACCTGCCCTACGATGCTAAACCGCAATGTCAATGTGAACCGACAAACTAGAAACTAAAACAAATGTGAAGCAGTCGTTAACGTTTTTCTGTAGCTAAAAGCAACGAAACAAAGATGCGTGACAAATAAAAAAATATTTAATAACTCCGACATTTAGGTTGAAATTCTCTCTCAATAAAGTTCTAGAGGATATTTTGCTCGACAGCCCTAGTCAAGTTGTATAACTCGGTGTACCAACCTTCAACATTGATAGTATTTGTTATGATGCTAAAATACAAATTATTTTCTCCTTGAATGAAATGATATCGTCTCTATCTAGTTCAGTTACAATCATTTTTCTTCCAAGTTAATTTTTTGGCCTGCAAGACTTTGCTCTGCATTTGAAATTGGAGCTAAGTCGCATGTCTCCTCACAGTTTTTTTCATACTCACTGTTTTCTTGGGTAATTAAACTAATGGAGTAATGGCCGTTGTAGACAGAGAACTTTGAAGTGATTCGGCGTAAGCGTGCTCTTACTGCTGTAAATAGCCGTATTTTCAAGCATTTGGTGACGTCTCATTCTCCACTGGAATATTGTGAGGAAGAAACACAAATTATCAGGCTCTCAAGAGGCGTGTGGAACCTGTTTTGGGGTCTTTGCCGAAGTAGAAACTAACCTTGATAAAGTCCGCTGCCACCAAGGATAAGACAATTTGTGGTGTTTGTTAAAGTAAACTGAAAATGGAAGCGATAGCAAAGCACGATTTCAACGCAACGGCTGATGATGAACTGAGCTTTAGGAAAAACCAAATTTTAAAGGTAAGTTTTTAACGTACTTCTCTCATGGTGTCCAAGCCTAGTGCCAGCGAATTGACGCCTCTGTTGTCAACGCAACGGTGACATTTTCCCCTTAACGTGTCGTTGTATCTATATGTCTTACGCTCTTTTTGGCATCAAATTAGCTACTTTTTACCACATTACCACCATTCTGACATTGCATTATGGCTATCTGCCTTGACAAGTTAGATGACACATGAGTGAATCATGAGTGAATCATACTTGGTTGATTCTAATACATTTTGTTAGATTTGCTGCTTCTATTATGCAGATTTTTTATTTTTATAATTTTGTTTTTAAGTTGTGGTTGTCTTTGTGCTCTCTATTTTCTTGTTTTATACCTTGTTTGTCCCTTAATGTCCCTTTTAGATTCTCAACATGGAGGATGATATGAATTGGTATCGAGCTGAGTTGGAGGGAAAGGAAGGCCTCATACCCAGCAATTACATAGAAATGAAGAATCACGAGTAAGTATTAGGTTTACTACTTCATGAATATTAAGGTGTGGCCATTTCTTCCTTCACACATTTTCACATAAAAAAAAAATTTTTACAGCTGGTATTATGGTAGAATAACTCGGGCAGATGCAGAAAAGCTGTTGTTGAATAAACATGAGGGGGCTTTTCTAATCCGAGTGAGTGAGAGTTCTCCTGGTGATTTCTCCCTTTCTGTCAAGTAAGTATTGGGCAACAATTTATATTTTGATAGTATTGAGTATAGTAAATTAACAGTTTATATTAGTAAGTATTGTTAACAAAAAGGAGTGAGGTTCAGATTGGACGCTTTTCCCCCTCATCCATTTTGTTTACAATAATTATTTATGGCAACTGTTAATCTGATTAACTTGGTAGAACCTTTACTTTGGGCATTATTCCTAACAACTTCATTTTCTTTAATGCCTTATTTTATAGGTGTTCTGATGGAGTTCAGCATTTTAAAGTCTTGAGAGATGCTCAGGGAAAGTTTTTCTTGTGGGTCGTAAAATTTAACTCTCTTAATGAGCTTGTAGAATATCATAGAACAGCATCAGTATCTCGTTCTCAAGATGTTAAGCTGAGGGATATGGTTCCAGAAGAGGTAATTCTTATTATTTCTGCCTATAGAACTTGAAAATTGCAATTTATTTGTTCAATCGCTCACTGTTTTTGTTCACTATCTTTCAGTGTTTGGTCCAAGCATTATATGATTTCACTCCACAAGAGTCTGGTGAATTGGAATTCAGAAGAGGAGACGTTATCACTGTAACAGACCGTACTGACCAGCACTGGTGGCATGGTGAAATTGGTGCTCGCAAAGGACTCTTTCCATCCACCTATGTGACTGCCTATCATTCATAGACTGCTTAAACTTTGCTCATTCTGGTCCATCCAACTGTGCAGTCTTTTGTAAGACCTGCCAATATTTGTTTTAATGTGCCTACAGCTCAGTATGATCAAACTTCAGTTCTGTATTTCCTATCCCCTGATTCATTGGTATGAATAACTTATTTCAAGTTCTGCAAAGTTCATACTTTCCATTTGGTGTCCTTTGAAAGTGAACTTGCACAATGTTCTGAATTGGTGCTCTTATCACATGGGAGGTTTGTCGCAACCTTATACATAGGGTTAATTTGCCTTGTTCTTCAAGTTGTGTTTGATGTTACAATCCAACTTTTGTTCTCTTTAGCTTTTTTTTTTGTTTGCTCTTGAACAGCTACGTAGTATTATGCATCATTATTTTGAATTTTGGAACTCTCTGAAGCATCTTTGCTTCAATTCTGAAATACGTTTGGTTTTATTATCCATTTTTCTGTCCGTTATATTAATTTTAGGTACAAGGAACTGTTTTGATTGGTTTTCTTCCATGTTAATATTTGTAGTTTTATTGTTATCTAAGAACACTTTGCACTTAATTCACATTGCTCTGCATTCAAGAGGTTCAAAGCCTTAAATTATTATGGGGAATTCCAGAACTTGTAAAGTAAAGTTTGCTTGCTGGATAAAATAATGCATTTTATGTATGTGTTATGTACATTTGCCTGATATTTCAGCCAACATAGACATGTGTATGTAAGTGATGTTGTTATGTTGCTTGCTTCTCTATAAAGAAAAATTCTCATGCAACCTTGTATTTACAAGTCTTTGGTTTTTGACAATTTGTTAAGAAATGCTGGGCTCTTTTCAGAATGTGTGTTGTAGGGGGCACCTTTGAACTGTTCCCTTGAAATTATGTTTATGATAGCTCCTTCGCTGTCACCTTGACACGGTTTAATTAGCCTAGTTGTGCCTTATAAAGGAGCCTTATAATAAATTTGTTAGCTTTGGCTATTGTGCTCATTAAGTAATGTAATGTAGACAATCTAATGTCTGATCTTGACAGTATTACACACACACACACACTCAGAATGAGATTTCTTTAATTTGGATCAACTTAATGCTTCACATTGATGACAATGTGTTTATTTTTAATTGTGCATTTTTGTTTTAAAAACTATTGTTATTTCTTACCATAGCTCTTGCCTCTTTGCCATTTTAACATGAACTGGAACCAATTGGAATGTCAATGGGGTGACCTAATATTAAATATTGATATTAGGAGGGATATCATTTGGGGATTTGGTATTTGTATTTGACTTTTACTCCCTGTCTGCTTTTCAATCCAGCTCCCTCATTTGATTCTGGAACTAAGTAGATATATGTGTGTGATAAAGTGTTGCCATGGTTTTGTAATTTAGGCTATTCAACACAGTTGGTTTTTGTCATTGAGTAGGAGCAAATGTTCTAATTTAAATGCTTTTAATTCTATTGTAGCTTACTGTGTTTGTGTAAAGCTTTGCCTGTTCTCTTGAATTGCATTTCACAACTAAATTAATTAAAATGGTCCTTATCAAATCATTTTAGTTCTGGGGAGAAACCATGGAGAAACATATGCCACTAGACTGCACCTGTGGTAAACCTGTACTATTGTGATACACTCATATCTGAGTCAGTGGTGCCATTGTATTGTAATTGAATTGAACATTATTTTTCTTTTTTTTTGTCAGTAACAATTCCGATGCAGTATGCATTTGTAAACCATTCACTTACCTATCTAATATCTATCTCCCTCTCCCTTTCTCTCTTAATATTGTTTTGATTTTCTTTTATTTCCTGAGATATTGTGCTTTACTTTTGAAACCATGCAAAGTTGAGTATAAGGCTGAAGTTGAGTGTTGATTTTTTTTCTGCTCCCACTGAAATATTTATGAGTGAGGCTTTGATTAACAGCTTATAATGAAGCTATGTTACTTTTGTGTTGTCTTATCATTGATAAGCTGTTTTTCTAGAGTGTACATTTATGAGTTGGTTTGCTATCTACCACATCTCTGTAAATATTAGAATTCCCAAAATATAAGTTTTGGTAAGATGTGATGCCAGGAGTGACACCATTGGTGCGACGTCATTGATGTTTTGTTACAGCAAGTTGTTAGGGTATGGAAATATATATATATATATTTATATGTAAGCATATTGTTCCATTGTATTTTATTTGCTCCCTTAATATGTTTTTCTTTTTTTTTTAAAGAGAATTGTGGTGCAGACACATGTTATCACCGTGATATCCGCATTCTGTTGCAATTGTTGATATTGGTTCATTGGAAATGTCTTAGATTCTAAATTTGAACTTCAGATTGTGAATAAAAATTCTTCGGCAAGATTCTGGCATTTGGTCAATCATTTTCAGGAAAGCATTAATTGTGTTTCCAATTTCATTTTATATGATTTATTTTGCTGTTGTGAGTATAATATTTTAACTTTTCAGACTTAGTATAATATTTTTCTATGGTTGCAAGGATTGATCATAAGATAAGTTCAGAAGATATTTTACAAAAGGATAGTAAGTTTATTGATTATTAAAATTTTTAATCAACCTGCAAGTTATTTACGTTTAGCTTTATCTTCATACTATTTATGATATTATTGTAACTAACAGTTTAAAGGTTCAGTCATAAGGTATCCACATGAGCTTGTGTGTCTTCCCCTAAACCTTGCTTTCCTGCATCTCCCGTCCCATAGCTTGACTCTTAATTGAGTCCCGTTCCTTTGTGCTTCTTTGTGCGTGAAAAGACTGTTTTGTTGAGATTCTATTTCAGCATTGTATTTTGTCAGAACCATTCATCCTAGCTGCAAAGTTCTGAAATGGGTGGCGCCTTGTTTCACACCAAGGGGAGTCTGCATTGTAAGAATCTCTTTGAAATCTGAATTTATTAGCCTTTGTCCTTTGTGAATAAAGCTATTGAAAACTTGCCATTTGAGTTTGTTTTACCAATTTCACCCTCGTTCCTGAGTAAACTTTGACAAGGCAGCAGAGTTCGCCCGTTTCGCCCTCAGTTCTAAACGGAACACGTGCCCGCTCTGTGCCGGACCCACCGAATGAGGTGGACGGTAACTTGGATGGGGTGCCGTCCACCTGGACGAGGTCGAGAGGGTCGAAAGTCGAGTCGGCTGGTGGGGTCCTTCCAGCTCCCTGTCCGTGACTCCGCGACCGACCACACCGCCCGTCGCTGCGCTATGCAGCGCGGCCTGGTCGTTGCCGGTCGTTGCCTGGCAACGGGTGCGTCCAGGACGACAACAAACCGACCTGATGATGGAAGGGCCGGCCGGGCTCGGGGCCGGGCGAGGCGGGGGCGGCGGGGAGGGCTGGGGCCGGGCCGGGGTGCGCGTCGTCCAGTCTCTTGGTGGAGGACCTGCTGGACAGGGCTGGACTGGACGACGGGTGCACGTGGCACCGACGTGGCACACAGCATGGCGGCCACCTTGCTCGCTGCTGCGCCTGCTGCGGCACGTCTAGAGGTGAGGATGGCAGGCAAGGAAGGAAAGTTCCTCTAGAGGGTGTAGGCCGCGGACACGACCGCCCTCCCGTGGCGCCGTCGTCGGGCGAGAGGCACGGGGTGGGGGATAAGTGCGGGGGCGCTTCGTCGTCCCACTACACGTCGGCAGAGCTATGCGAGCTAACTGCTGTAGCGTAATTTTCTTTTTTAAAGGACTTCTGAGGGCGTGTTCTCTTTCTAAGCAGAATCGGGGCGCCCTGAATTTGGGCTCGACCCGGAGCTGGGGCCTGGCTGGGGAGAACCGTTTGCTTTTTAATTTCGTTTCGTCCATTTTGTTAGTCAAATTGACCAATTACTTGGAGGACGGTTGGGAAGTGGAGATCGACCGGTGTCCACCTCCGCTGCGCGACCTCGCGGCAAAGCCAGGCCAAGCGGCCAAGCTCGCGTTCGCTTGAGTCCGCGCCGCCACCCCTTCCACGAGGCGCTCGGGGAGAGAGGGGGGGGGGCGGTTGTGGTCATTATGGAAGGGCTTTACTGACCCCGCGGATCGGCGCGGCACGACCCGGGCGCCGCCAATCCGACTTGCCCTTGTGTCCGTAGAATAGAAACGAGAACTGGCGAACAGGGAATCTGTAGAGGGGGTCCGCCGAGACGAAAGGGCGCAAGGCCGCGCTACGCAACGCCATCCTTCCTCATGCGATCTCCCACGGGGCTGGATTGAACTCCTATCGACCGCGGCCTGCTGGCGCCGACTGCGTCGCCGCCGATGCGTGGCATGCGTGGCATGGAGTGGACGAAGCGAGAGTCGCATCACTCCACGCACAACGCGACCGCCTGGAAGGGGGAGGCACCTGCCGGCCGCCGCGCGCACAGCACCGGGGCGGGCCGGGGTGTGCCGGGGTGGTGGGCACAAGAAGTGACGAAGCCAAGGAGCGATTGTCGACTTGGAGCATCGATTTATCGACGAGCACGGCGACGGAAGGGCCGAGAGAGAGGGCGGCCAGGGCAGCACTCCGAGGCCGGCATGCATGAGATTGGGCCGCGGTGTGTCCAGGACGGTGGCGTACCGGGCTGAGCGGAGCGGCACGCCGTCAGCGCGCCGTCAGCGCGCCATGGACACGGGGGTGGCCCTGGAGGCCGCGGAGTCGGTCCGCGACCACCACGACTACGCCAAGCGGCACCGCGACGACGCCACCGGGGAGTGCACCTCGCCGCCACCCCCCGTCAAGAAGGGCAGGCTGCTGAGGGACCCTGAAGGCGGCACCTACATCTCGGCCAGGTCGCGGGCACGGAAAGGTGAGTGAGTGAGTGCGTGCGGGTCCGCCGGTGCTTCATGTCCTTCACGTCCTTCATGTTGTCGTCCCGCTCACAGAGCCGCTGCCCATGAAGCTGCGCGCACTGCCCGCGTCCTTCTGGGAGCAGCCGAACCACAACAAGGGCCCGTCTCCAGGCACCATCTTCTCCGCGCTGCCGCCTCTCTGCAAAGAGGAGGCCGTGGTCTCCCCCTCGGCGTCGACGTTTTCGCCACGCACTCGAGGTACGCCAGGGTGTGTTCCGGCCCGGGCCACCCCGCCGTCCCGTCCCAGTCCCGTCCCGGGCGGGCGTCGTCAGGGCGTCGTCGCCGCGTCGCCGCCATTGGTCCTCTCGTCGTCGAGGCTGCCGCGGAAAGTCACCAGACGCTTCTGTTGCAGACGCGGACACGGACTGTACCGACGGGGCCGGCGAGGGCGGCGAGGGCGGCGAAGGCCACGCGGAAGGGGCAGGGCCGGGTGCGCTGGTCTCGCACTCCGCCGCCGACACCGACCTCCTCTTCAGCCTGTTCCGGTCCGTGGAGGCCAAGGAGGCCAAGGGGACGGAGCGGCCAGGACGCACGCGGACTCGGGGCAGGTGGTCACTCAAACTGTCACTGTGTTATTGACCGGCGACTGCCTGCTGCTTGCTGCTGTCTGGGCGCAGCGGAGCGCAGTCAGCACACCAAATCGATCAGAGTCTATTAGCTTCATTTTCCTCACGTGACAAACGTATCTGAAGAGTCCTTGGAGTCGCTGGGAGAACCAGCCTTTTCCGGGAAAGCAGCAGTGCGTTGCCGGTTGTCCCGGGTTGCCCGCGTTACAGCGTGGCTGTTGGTTGCAGGCCGAGACGGCGCCCGGCCGCCACTGGCCCCGGGGGCCCCGGGGGCGTGGGGGCGCACCAGGGGCAGCGAGCGCAGCGAGGCGCGTCGCGCGGGGTAGGGCCCCGCGACGAGGACCCCTGCCTGCTGGGCAGCCTCACGGGCGGCCTCCTGTCCGTCACCTCCCGAACCCTGGTGAGTGCCTCCAGTCGTGTTGACGCCACAGAAGCCACCGCTTCGGAATGTCGGACGACCACTCATTTTGCCACTGTCATTCTTTGCGCACAGAACGGTCTGGACTGCGGCAGAGGCGTCGCGACGCTACGAGGGAGCGGCGCGGGCGTCGGATCCGTCGACAACAACAACCTCGCCCAGATCCTTTCCGACCTCGTCGTCAAGCTGTGATTCACGTTATAACGTTTTCTTATGATTGAATAAATGTCTAAGTTAGTACAAAGTTCAGGGTGTCCTTTCTATTGCGCCTGCTTGAGGTAGCCACCCTGGTACTGGCACCCTGGCACACCCTGGCACCCCGCGCCAGACAGCGCGTGTTCGAGAAGCCGTAGACGTGGAGGCGAATTCCACGGCATCTGCCTGACTGGCCGCGCAGCTTCCACGCGCCGTGCGCATCGCAGTGCACCCCGCGGAGCCACGAGCCCGGCAAGGCACACGAGCAGGAAATCTGGACGCTGCCGGGGCAGAATCAGAACGTGCACGGGGGGCGGGGGAGAGGATGGCGGCACGCTTTGCGACCTTGGCCGTCACACTAGCCACGAGCAGGAAATCTGGACGCTGCAGGGGCAGAATCAGAACGTGCACGTGGGGCGGGGGCGAGGATGGCGGCACGCTTTGCGGCCTTGGCCGTCACACTAGCCACGAGCAGGAAATCTGGACACTGCAGGGGCAGAATCAGACCGTGCACGGGGGGCGGGGGAGAGGATGGCGGCACGCTTTGCGGCCTTGGCCGTCACACTACGCCGCCGCGCCGGAGGCCCAAAGGCAGCCTTCCTTTCGAATCGAGGCAATCTTCAAATAATTTAATCAATCTACGCCACTAGTGTTCCCCGGGCAGGACAAGAAGGGCCTTGATGTGCGCCCCATTTCGCCCCGGCCCTCCGCGTCCCCGCCGACCTCGCCCCCGTCGGCTCGCCTATTGGCCTCGCAAAAGAATTGAAAAATGAGAATGGTGAGGGGAATCCGCGTTGTACAGTGGAACAGTATCTCGGCCCGGCGGAGTGGCGCGACACGGCGGTGACGGCGTGACGGCGGTCCCGGAACGTCGGCCGGCCAATGGCGTGATTACAGGATGCGGCGCGGGCTGTGTGGCCGCGTGGCCATGGTGGGGCTCGGGTCCGTCGGGGGTACCAAGGACCTCCAAGGACCTCCAAGGACCAAGGGTGCCTCGGTACTCGCAAAGCATGACGCCTCGGCGCACCAACCTCTAGGCGGCCTCCCTCCAGGGGCGGGGGTGGGGGGCGGGGAAGGAGAAGCCACTCAATGGTCTGATTGGAGGAGCGGGCAGGCGGGGAGGGCCCGGCCCCTGGCCCGGCCCGGACGGACGGCGGACGCGCGGGCGTTGCGTATGTAGGGTACAATGTAGGGCAGTGGAGGAGCAAACTCGCGCCTCTTACAGTGGCGTGACCAAGCGGCCACGCACAACCAGAACAAGCCCACCCTCGTTAAGGTCCTGAGAAGGCGGCCTCATTTTTCATAATTTTGCACCTTGCCGTCAAGGCCGACGACAGCCTTGGGGCTGATTTGGCGCGGTTTTGTCCGCTGTCCGGCTCATTACTTAATTTGCTCACGGCGATGATGGCGGCCGGCCCGGCGCTAGGGGCGCCCGCCCCGCGGGTCCCGCGGGTCCTCGGACTGAGTCCGATCCGAGTCCCAGTCCCAGTCCGATGCGCCACCCGGCCCTATAAAAGGCGGCGCGGCCAGGGGGTTGCCCAATGTCCGGCAAGCCTCCCTCGCGACCGCACCGCCGCACCGCCCCGTCCACATGTGAGTAGCCATGGCCGCCTGGGAGAGCGAGAGGGAGGGAGAGAGAGCACTGACACTCGTTCGTTGCAGGGCGTCCCCGTCACTCTTGTTGCTGTCCATGTCCGTCCTCGTGGTGGCCGTGATGAGTGTGCCCGAGGAGTCGCCCGCGGTGAGTCCAGGGGGTGGCGGCCGCTTGCATGGCCCGAGGGTGGGACGTTCTCTCCAGACTGACGGCTTGCTTGCCCAGGACAAAGCCATGCGGATGAAGGTGCCGCTGCCCAAGCTGTACGCCGCGGAGGAGGACAGTCGCATCGGCGCCGAGTGCACCCTGGAGGTGCCCATGGTGAGTGCGATCTACGCGAACGCCTTCCGGGCCGTGATGACTGTCATGTCGCTGACCCTTTGACTCTTTCTCGTGTGCTCCACAGACGCAGAAGGTGGTCGGCGAGTGCGTCAAGCTGGGGCGGTTCGCGCGCGGCTGCGTGGCGGGCGCGTACCTCGAGGCCTACCACCAGGACTGCATCTAGGCGGCCGCAGCCCTCGCAGCGCCCTCGCCCCGGGGGGCGGCGAGACGGCGAACTACAGCGTGTGATGGTTGTGCGCGCCGTGCCCGGCCGTGCCACGAGCGGGGCGGGGGTTGGCCGGCTCGTCGGACGGCGCATCCTTTTAGTTCTCCTAGGCAGCTCCGTTTGTTTGTCAACCCTCATCGTGCATCTAGAACACCTCGACCAAGGTGAACCAGCAGCTTCGCCAGAAACGCGCCCTTGTTGTATTTATGTACGTAATTAGAACTTTAAAGTATTTTGTAGTCGGTCGTCTGTGTGTATGTGACAAGTATGAATGAGTAACGTGTCCGTTCATCTTACCTGTAAGTAGTCGTAGTGTAGTGCACCCCGAGCATTGCCTTGACACCAACCCCTCGCCGATCTTCTTCCTGGCGGGCCGACAAGGCGACATGAGAGTCGAGCGGTGGCTGGACGCCGCGAGCTCACCCAGCAGTCCAGTCTGCCCACGGGGTGCCCGAAGCGAATCTTGTAAACAATCTGTACACAAAACTGTTGGAACATTTAATAAAACACCCTCTCCCAAGGAAAGCTTGTTGTGCCTTCATTTTTGTCTTCCCTTCCTTTGCTCTCCACTCGGAAAGTGGGCGGCGGCGGCGGTCGCCGGGCGGGGCGGGGCGGGGCAGACGTGTAACTACCCGCCCGCCCCTCCCCCGGGTCGCAGCGTCCCACGCACCCTCCCGGAGTGGCCCATCATCCCGAGTTCATTTGCTTGCTCCGCCTCTTTGTCTCCGTTTGCCTCGGGGCACGCGGCGATTCCGACCGCTCTGTCTCTCTCGCACCTCCGCGAGACGCGCCATGAGTGAGAAAGAGATAGAGGCAGCCGGCTGAGGCCGGCGGTAGAGGCCGGAGGCTCCAAGAGACTGCGCCCCGACCTGTTGATCGAAGAGCAGGGGAGGGGAGGGGGATGCTGGGGGTGGCGCGGGGCGGCAGGGCCCCGGCGGAGCGGGAGCGGCGTCTTGGAGGAAGCACCTGGACTCGACTCGGCAAGAAGCTCCCCGCAGTCCTGTTCGTCCGCTGCGCCGGCCAAGTCGTCCTGGGGCACGTCATGGCGCTCTTAGTCACGGCCGGCGGCGCCCTCTTCGTCGTCCTGGCCGCGGTAAGACGACGCACGCCCCGGTCGTTTGCCACCGTGTCCGCGCCTGGCGCTACTGACCGCCACCGCCACTGCCCCCAGGCCGCGAGTCAACAACTCGCCCTGCGCGACGGGCCCGAGATGAGGCTGGAGGCCCTGGACCTGCAGGCGAGGCTCGTCCGCGGCGACGTGTACCGCACCCTGGACGCGGTGGAGAGGCTGGCTCAGTTCCTGGACTTGCACGAGGACATCATGACCAAAGACCTCGCCCTGGGGGCCGCCATTTCCGAGAGTGAGTGGATTGGCAGGACACCCCGCTGCCGCATTCAAACCTGTGCGAGTACAGGGCTGTGCTCGCAGGTGCGGTCCAAATGGCACTCCTCGCGCTGCGCTCTGCGGGCCCCGGACTGCCTGCCGAGCTCGACGCCCTGGCGGCGCGCCTCGGCGACCTGGCCGCGGTGCTGCGCAAGGCCACGCGCGCCAAGGTGGACGACGACGACGATGGTGAGTCCGAGGCCTACACTCTAAATGTAGGGTGCCCAGAAACTGGGCGCCTTTGTCGCCTGCCCCACTTTTTTGGGTGCCAAATGTCGCCCAGTTTCTGGACACCTTTGTCGCCTAGTCTCGGGGTGGACAAACCATTAAGGAACCTAGGGCAGCTAGGGCAGCTGCCCTCACCCATGGCTCAGCAGCGACTAAGGTGCCAAAGGTGCCCAGAACCTGGGCACCTTAGTCACCCAGGAACTAGACACCCTGTGCATGCTCTACCATGGGAGAGGGCCGGTTACTGCATGATTAGTCCACCCCGAGACTGGGCGACATTTGGCACCCTAAAAAGTGGGGCAGGCGACAAAGGCGCCCAGTTTCTGGGCACCCCACATTTAGAGTGTAGCCAGAGAGACGCAGCCCAGCAGGTGGCCCCCGTGGCCCCCGTTCTGACGTCGCCGTTCCCGGGTTCCGCAGGGTGGCGGCGGCTCCTGAACCCCCGGCTGTGGCGCGTGGAGGCGAGCCGCTGGCGACGCCGCCCCGAGGACGGCGAGGGCCTGGACGCCGCGTCGTCCGCGCGGACGCTGCTCGTGCTGCATGAGCTGGCGCTGCGGGGCTCGCCGACGGAGGCGGAGAGCGCGCACTGCATCGGCCTGCTGCTGCAGCGGCCGTGCCGCCTGTCGGAGCAGTGCGTGCGCACGGAGACGCGGGCCGCCGCCTCGGGGTACACCGCCACGCACCGGCTCCTGTTCCACCACGTCGCGAGCAAGGTGCGCCCGATGGTCATGGTGGGCACGGCGGCCGCTCGCGGACTTGATCGTCATCCTGGTTGTTCCGCAGGTGGGGTGCGGGGACACCGCCGTGGGGGTCGGCTCCGAAGAGGCCATCGCGCACCTGTGCCGGCGGATCCTGCTGGAGGCGACTGCCATCGCCAACGCCCAGTTCCCGCCGCTGTTGAGGGACTTGTTCGCCGAGCAGGGTGAGTGAGTGAGTGTTGCCTAGGTCCGCCCCCCTCATTGTTCCCGAGTCCTGACTCTGGCCCATTGTCGTCGTCCTCCGCAGTGGCGCTGTGCGGGCTGCGGAACTTCGCGGAATTCGCGCGCCGCTCCTGGCTGGACGAGGTCCTCTCCTGGCAGAGGCCGGCGGGCTGCTTCGGGAACTACACCGAGCTGCAAGGGGCGGCCCAGCCCTTCCACGTACTAGCGTGAGTCTCTGTGCGCCGCCGTGGGTTCGAATACTGGATTAGAGTGCTTTTACGGAGCAGCTTGTCCGCTCGTTGCAGTGACAACGCTCGCCTGGACGACCGCCTGGGCAGCGAGTGCGTGTCCCACCTGACCGGCGTGGCGGCCGCCGCCGTGGCCTTCAACATGCGCGTCCTGGTGGACGAGCTGCTGCAGGACCTGCAGGACGAGCAAGAGGGGAGCAGTGGCGCCGCGGCCATCGACTAGTCGATGTTCATCAGTCCATCATTTTATTAATTTGTTATTTGTACATGTAGGAAAAGTAGGTTTTGGGTCGTAGGTCGACGGTAGGCAAACAATCGGAAAAATAAATTAAAAGATATGCCCGCTGAACCTGTCGCAGTATTTTGTTTGACCTAACCGCCAGCTTCACACATCCAGAGATACCAACGTAGGGCACACACATTCACACGAGTAAAAGAAAATACGCACAAACACACATTTACAACAGCATACAATAAATATTTCAAAAATCTCGAAAAAGTACTTCGTTGTCACGAATTAAAAATAAGTTATTATGCATCACACAAACGAGACCAACATCCACGAGACAAACAATTAATTTAATCTACTCCGGCTACGCATAGGGCATGGCAAGTAAAGTGACTGAAACTCTACAGGAGCACACAAGCCACAAAGCCTATAATCGCGAATTTGGCTGTAGCTTGTCTCCAATTTTCTGTGAGAAAAAGAGGAGAGCGGAGAGTGTCTCCCTGATGTACAATCGATTCGAATTACGGCAGTTCCTCAGGTCGGGTCGATGGCTAGGCCTAGGCAGCCCATCTGAGACCCCCCAGTCACGGCATTAAGAGCGAGAGAGACGGACACAGCTGGCGCCGCCTTCGAGGCGAGGCCCGGCATGACTAAAAGCTAACTTCATAAATTAACATACTCTGACGAACACGCACAACATCTGACACACAAATCGTGGGAATAAAACAATCCGCCTGGCCTGTACAAGGGAGCAGTGCGAATCAACGAACGGAGATTCTGGCGCCTTAACATCATAAATATTATCAGATCAAAATAACGGCAGGAAACGCATCTCAAGTTAGTGACAACGTGTTACGTAGTATCGGCAGCGTCTCGAGGAGCGGTTTCAATCCCGCGACAGCGCTGGTCGTCCGCACGGCAGAGCACGCAGAGCAGGCATCGCAGGCAGAGCGAAGTGGTGCGCTCCAGAAGCGTTCCCCGCCAGGTTCCTCGTGCTCGGCTCGTCGGGGTGCCCGTGTCTGCCTGCCGCGTCGCCGCGTCGCCTACCGGGGCTGCGGGTACGGCGTCTTGCCGTAGGGCCCGCGGCCCCGCTCGTCGCGCACCAGCTGGTAGTAGCTGAACACGACGCACCACAGATACACGTGCACCACTGTAACAAGACACTGGTCGTTAGTTTTCGCTTCCCAAAGACCCGAGAGGGAAGACGACGTCGCGCGCAGTGTACCACAGTGTACCGACCGACAGTGATGAGGCCGAAGATGAGCCAGATGCTGCCCAGGACGGGCTCCTTCTTCACGTAGTGCTCCACGGCGGTGTACAGCACCGAGATGAGCAGCCCGATGGCCAGCATCAGGGCCAGCACGACGAAGGGCAGCATCAGCCACCGGTTTCTCTGTTCGTTTCAAAGGGAAAAATTAAGTGCCAACTGCCTCGCCTTTTGCCCTTCTCGGGGGGAATGGCATTTAAATGAAATTACCTTAACGGCTCCGAAAATGAGGAGCGATGATATAAATATAGTCATGACCAGATTAATGGCCAGAATAATCCGAACTGAAATTGAGAAAGGAGACATTAAGCTTTAAAGAAGACACAAAAACCACGACAGGGAAGGGGGGGGGGCTTCCCCCACCTGTTTCCACTTTAGCACTTACCGACTGAATCTGGCAGTGTGTCGATGACGATGGTCTTCACCTGCAGCTTCTCTACGGACAGGATGGTGATGAGGCCCATCAGTCCCAAGGCCTGTAAGTACGAAGCCCACGTTTCAAATAGTTCTAAACGTCCAAATCGAAAAACAAACAATTACTACTCACAATGCCGAGGGAACCGGTGACGATGGTGCCCGTCCTCAGCGTGCAGCACCGACAGCAGTTGTCGAGGAACGGCATTTTCGGCGGCTGGAACACGGAAAGAGGCGAGTTACGAAGGAGCAAATCTAATTTTGCGCTGACAATCAGCCGGGTCGCTTCGCCACGGGGGTAGGGGCGGGCTGGCGGGCTGGCGGGCTGGCCCAGCCTGACGCGCTGCGGGAGGGGTGTGTGGGAGCGCGGCGCTGTCGTTCGACTCCAGAGACTCCAAAGGGTCCGCCGTTAAAGCGGACATCAAACGGGCATCAAAGTGCAAATCGGGGGCGCAGGGGGCTCGGACACTACGGCAGGCTTGAGGCCCACTCAAGGCCCCTCTAGGGCACCCTCTTCCGCGGCTGCTCTGGGGAAGCATGCCGTCAAGGTGCGAGTGCATGAGTGCATCATCCAGGCAAGACCAAGGCAGGCGGGCAGGCGGCAGGCACTCAGACTGACAGGCGGCTCACGCGTCCTGAAGGCGGTCACGTCCAGGGGGTGCTCCATGACCAGGGCCATGGTGGCGTCGCTGGTGTGGCCGCTGTCCCGAGGCGCCCCGAGCGCTGTCCCGGACACCACTGCTGACAGGCTAACAAGTCCTGGCGGGGCCACTGCCGGGGTCCTGGCGCATGGGCCCCGGCGGGGCGACGGTGAGGCTCTGGCGGGGCGTCCAGGGCGTCATCGCGGCCCCGGGCCCCGGGGGGAAGAGGGTGTCAGGAATCCTTCGATCGGCCGCCGCGCCCCGCCGCCACGCCCCGCCCGCCCCGCCACGCCCCCGACGGGCGGGTCCCCGAGGATGCGGGGCGGGGCGGGGCGGGGCGCGAGCGTGCTCTCTGTGCCGGCGGCCGTCATGGTCAATGGCGGACTGCAGCGCTGCGCGCCGCCTCGGTGAATGCAGCGTGCCGCTCCACTGGCGACACTTTGCCCGTCCGTCACTTTGACCGAAAAGCCGTCATGCCGGCACGCTCCCGGTGCCGATGGCGGTGCCGATGGCGGTGCCGATGGACATGGCGAGGATGAGGATGGGCGGCGCGGGCGACGCCCTTCCGCATCGCGCCGCACCGCGTCGCGTCGCGCCTCGCGGCCAAGGCCCTGCCCGGCCCGGCCCGTCCTAGGCCGCGGCGCCACGGCCAAAACAAAGCGACAGGTTGGTGGGGGAAGGGCCGTGCCCGGCCAGGCCTGGCCACGCCGATGCAGTCCATGGCGGGGCCGGGACTGCCTGGCTGGCTCTGGCGACCGCTCCCACCCCACCCTGCGAAGGGGATAGTTTGACGGGCATGCCAAGGCAGCCCAGGGCAGCCCGGGGAACGGGGAACGGGGTTACGGCCGGCGCGGCACTGGAGGGGTGATAATCAGGGCGACGTGGAAAGGTCGGGGCGGAGGGAGGAGAAGGGGGTTGCAGCGTTGGCACGGGGGTGGGGGTGGGGGTTGTGCAGTAATTCTCACTTTCCCCACCGCTGTGCAGCTGGAAATGTGAGCTCCTCGATCCCGGTTAGCATTCTCCTTTTGAAAGGTTCTTTTTTCCAGGCCGTCGGCGCGCTGCCGCGCCCTTGCTTGCGGCCACCCTCGCGGTATCGCCGCGTCCTTGGCTCGCGCGCCGCGCCCTTTATTGGGGCGATAAGGGCGACGGAGTGCCGGCAGCCCGGCAGCCCGCCAGGCAGGCCAGCCCGTCGAGCACGGGAGCGGTGAGCGCCGCAGGGTTGCCTACCCTTCCCACCGCAGGCGCTCGGCGCGCCGCTCCGCACCTCTTTCTCGGCCTTCGCCTGCTTCACACTGATTCGGCTTCGGCGGGCCAGCCGTCTGATTCCGAGCACTGCTTTCGTCGCTCTGTCTCTCTCGCACTCATGGGGCGGTCCGTAGGGGTGCGAGAGAGACAGAGTGGCGAAGCAGTGTTCGGAATCGGACGGCTGTGCACTGCAGTGCCGTGCCGACTCCGAGGTGCCCGCGGCGTCGCCAGGCATCGCGTGCCCGGCCAAGCCCCGCCAAGGCCCGGCCTCCTCGGCCCTCTTTGAATTGGCGAGGACGAGGACCGGGCGCCACAAACTCGGAGATCGTGACGGTCTGTGCGTGGCGGCGCGGCTTGCGTCACGCGTCACGTGACACGTGTCCGAGACGTCAGCGACGCTTTGGGTGCTTTGGGTCGTCCGTCGGCCGCTGCCCCGTGCCGGCCCAGGCCCAGGCCGGCCGAGCCCCGCGGCGGTCCGCGGGGGGTCGGGCTGCCCGGCCCCACCCCGCCCGGACCCCCGAGGGTCGTCTGAAGGCCGGCCGAGGGACGCGCGGTGCCCCATGGCGGTGCCCCATGGCCCCCTGGCCGGTCCCCCGCCGCGCCGAGTCGGATGAGAAATCCAAGAGCCCGTCCCACGCACCTCGATGGGTCGTGAGTGGGGCCGGGGCGAGTGGACGCGCCGCGACGCGCCGCACAGTGGGCCAGAAGACCGGCGGAGCGGCCAAAATTATAGACGCGTTTTGTGCTCCAGAGTCGCTAAATGGGACTCGAACCGAACGTGTGACCCCGCCAATGGATTGCTCTCCGAACGAGGAATCCATTGGTGGGGTCACACGTTCGGTTGGTGTCCCTCTTAGCGACTCTGGAGCTCAAAACGCTTCTCGCATTTTGGCCGCTCCACCGGTCTTCTGGCCCACTGTGCGCCGCGAGGGGCACCACGTGCCGCCACGAGCGTGCTGCGGTGCGTACACTGCGAGCCGCGTGGCCGCGTGCGCAGGGCGATACCCCGCGCCGCGGGCATTTTCAAAATTCGCCTCTCTGACGATACTGTGCGCCACAGTGCTCCGCAGGGAGGGCGCTTGACCTGTTGGCGGGTCAAGCCGGCCAGCGCGGCGCACGCCGTGCCGTGCGTGGGCGTGAGTGCGGCGATACCCCGCGCGCCGCCTCGCCGCCTCGCACGGCCGGGGTATTTCCCGCCGCCACCCGAGTGGGTGGAGACTGCTCTTCACGGCAGGTGCGTCTCGGGGAAGGACCGGACGCGCGATTTGCTGCTGTGATTCGGAATTTCCGGCCTCCTTTCACGTGGCGCGGTGGGGCGGGGCGGGGCGGGGCGGGAAGCGGCGGCGCGCGGCGGAGGTCGACCTACACCAACCTGGGCCGCGGGCCGGCCCTACATGGCAGTGGCGGGAGGCCAACTGCTCCGTCTGCAGCGACCGCAAGGCTCGCGAGGCTGGCGGATCGAACACACACACCGCGAAACCAATGCCCCGGGAGCCCCGAGCCTCGTCACTCTAACTTCCAGTGTGCGGCAGCGGCGCAAAAGGCTAAAAGCAACAGAAGCAGAAACTTTAAGACACGGCAGAGTTGAAATCTATTCACGTTCGAAGCTGCGGCCGCGGAAAACGTGGCTGCAATATGCGACGTCCCGTCGGAATCGGTTCCCCTCGAGTGCGTTCCGCGCGTTCGTTCTTCGCGCTCGCCGGGCTGCACTCCGCTTTGATCTTGGGTGCGGGCGAGGCGAGTATGGCGTGGTGAATGGTGCTCGTGTTCCTGCCGCGGGGTGCGCGTGTGTTTGTGTGCGTGCGCGCGTGTATGGACGTGCCGCAGCGTGCCGCAGTCACTCAGTCGCGTCGTCACGCTCTCGTCGCGAAATCGGGACGCAGCGCGCGGGGCGGGGCGGGGCGGGGCGGGGCGGGGCTGGCCGGGCTGGCCCCGAGACCAAGCCAGAGCGCCGACAGCCTCCACGGCCCGGCCACAACAACGGCAACGGCGACAGAGTAACTCAGAGCCGGCGGTACTCGAACCCGGGACAGCGGCGTGCTCCGCGGGCTGCCCGCCCGCCAAGGCCGAGGATTCTCTGACAGTGACATCGGCCGCGCCTTCATTGCACTGCCCTTGAACTTCCATATATTTAGCCGCTCTTTTTTAAAACTTCGGGGCCCTTTCTGGGTCAGTGTGTGAAGGTTGAGGGTCCTCTGCGGGCTCCTACGCGTCCTTTGCGAGGGGGTGGGGGCGGCGGAGACTGAAAATACCCCGCCGCCGTTCGCCGGCAGATGGCGCGAGCGGGGGGCGGCGGCGGCGGTTCGAACCCAACTACAAAATGGGCACCGCATCTTGTCGTTCCGTGGAATTGCATTCGGATCGAGGCCAGTTTAGCCAAACCGAAGGCGCTTCGGATCGGACACGGGGAGGCTCAACAGGCTTCCAGTTCCTTCTGTCCTGTGTGCCTCGGCCCCATCGGCCGGCAGCAGCAAGACCGCGACGGCCGTCCAGAGAACCGGGGTCGCTGACTGCCCGGCTGCACCGCGTGCACTTGGTGCAGCACACGGCCGCGCCAACAAAAAACAGAAGCGGTGGCGACCTATCCGCCAGCCGCGGCCGGTCGGTCTGTCTCTCTCTCTCTCCCATTCGGGACGCCCCATGAGAGCTAGAGAGAGAGACAGAGAGAGACCTCCCGCTTGGGATGAGTCTGCGAGGGTACCGGAAGTGCGCGCTGCGCGGCCGGCGTCTGGACTGCGGCGCTGTGTAAACTGGCGCTGCGCGGTGCAGTGTGGCTCGCTGCCCCGCCCGGCCCACAGTGGGCCAGAAGACCGGTGGAGGCGGCCAAAACTCTAGACGCGTTTTGAGCTCCAGAGTCGCTAAGCAGGCCTCGAACCGAACGTCTGACCCCACCAATGGATTCCTCGTTCGGAGAGCAATCCATTGGTGGGGTCACACGTTCCGTTCGAGTCCTGTTTAGCGACTCTGGAGCTCAAAACGCGTCTGGAGTTTTGGCCGCCTCCACCGGTCTTCTGGCCCACTGTGCGGGCGCTGGGCCACGTGGCTGGCGGCGTGCTGCGTGCGGTGCGAGAGGCCGCGAGCCGCGCCATTCAGCACAGCGGCTCGTCGCTCTGTCTCTCTCGCGCCCCTCTGGAGTGGCCCTTGAGTGACAGAGACAGAGCGGCGAAACGAGTCTCCCACCGAGGCTGCAGCGGATGCAGCGAGGGGCCCACGCGCACCTCCAGCGCCTCCAGCCCCTTGGGGGCCGCGGTGCCGGTGCGGCCGGAGAGTGGTGTGACAAATCGCGGTGCCAATAAATGCAAATGCAAGCCGTCATGCAGGTCCGCCCTGCCCGGCCCTGCCCTGCCGCCTGCAGCCCGGAGCGGCGCAGCCTCGGCGCAGGCGCAGGCCGCCTCGGGCTGGTTCCAAACACTCACTCTGTCTCTCTCGCACTCGCGGGGCGGTCCGAGGGCGTTCGAGAGAGACGGAGCGCAAAACACGCTGCGCGGAATCGGCCTGCCGGACGCGGCCGACGTCCTGCTTATCGATCATCTTTAAGTATCCGTTTATGTTTTGGGAACCAGCAACACGGCTTGTGCGTTGCGTGCTATCTCAAGGATCGTAAAGGTTTTAAGGCGGCCATGTGCGTGCGCGTGCGTTCGTGTGTGTGTGTGTGTGTGCGTGTGTGCACTCTGCTGGCGGAGCCTCGCTGCTTCCTTTCCTTCTCGAAAAATGGTCCATCTGTACTCTGCACTGCGCCCACACTGGGCTAGAAGACCGGTGGTGGAGGTGGCCAAAATTCTAGGCGCGTTTTAAGCTCCAGAGTCGCTAAAGAACACTCGAACCGAGCGTGTGACCCCACCAATGGATTGCTCTCCGAACGAGGAATCCATTGATGGGGTCACACGATCGGTTCGAGCCCCTTTTAGCGACTCCGGGATTTTGGCCGCCTCCACCGGTCTTCTGGCCCACTGTGCGACCGTGCCGGCGGCGAGGCGCCTCGTCGCTGGTCACTCCGCCACTCCACTGCCGCGCGGCGAGTGGGAGGAGGACGGAGCAACAACAAGGCGGCGCCGTGACCGCCGTGACGGCCTGCCAGGCCTGGCGCCCAAGGCCGCCCGTAATCGCCGCCGTATTGTCGTTCTTTTTCGCCGCTCGGGAAAAAATGGCAGGCTGGCTGGCAGAAGTAGGGTACGGCGCCGCGCCGCCGCGCGCATTCCCGATCCTGATTGGCCAAGATTGGCCCGACCGTCGTCGCCGGAAACAATCTCCGCGGCGCCGCGTCGTGGCGGAGGTGAAGTGTAATCGCATCACACGAACGCGCTGCAAATGCAAATCCCTGGCCGCGCCGCCGCGCCCCGCCCCTCGGAGACGTATAGCGTCACGTCCTGGAGCGCTTTTCAGGTGTGCTAAAACAGAGTTACGCAACTCCCCCCCCTCCCCCCTAACTTCCATAGGTCGTCTTGGGTCGCCGTGCGTCGCTGCTTCTGCTCCACGGACACCGCCGCCGGGCCGACTCCTGTCTGTGTCTGGCTGAATATGCATACGCAAACAGCGCACTGTGTACCCACACACATACACACGCGACACAGACACACTCACAACACGGCTGCTGGCATTTCGCAAGAGCACGTCGTGCCCCTCTGTGTCGTACAGTCACAATGCGCGCGGCATTCTCGTTCGGGCCGCGGAAAGGAAGATGCTTGGGACGCGAAAATCGCGCGCCGCCATCACTAAGCACTGTCGTCGTCGTCGCTTTTCGCCGCTGCGAAATTGGCGCAGTCGGTCTCTCTCTCTCCCTTCCGTCGGCTGCATCAGCGCGACGCAGCGACACGGCATGACGCACTGCTTGGCTGGCTTGGCGCAGCTGTAGCGGCCCACGCACTTCTCGGCGGCGGGGCCGAGGGCGGGCCGAGGCGGGGCGCGGCTCGCCGGCCAGCTGATCCGTCCTGCGCCCTCGCGCTCCGCCGTGCTCCGCACTCCGCGGTCGCCCACCCGGTCCGCCGGTCCGCGGAGTCCACCGGCCGCACTACACTACTCGCGGCCCCGGGTTCGACTCCCGGCAGCGGCATTGCATTTCCCCCGTCGTCCGTGGCCTGCGGCGGCAGTGCTCGTAATGGCGGCACTGCCTTGTTCGGTACCTCAGAGCGGTTCCGAACGCCGCTTTGTCTGACAGTGTACCGGCGTGGCCATATCCGCGTCGTCGGCTCATCGCTGACTCAAACGAGCCTAATCGGGGCGAGCCCAGCGCGCCAGCCGCCTCCAGCCCTCGCCGCCACCACCAAGGCGCCCATGCTGGACCACTTGGAACCGCACCGGTGCGTGCGATGAGCCTGCGCCGTCATCCAGACCCAGGCGCCTTACCGCCGCCGGATAGGCCAGCCCGCTGGACAACGCCGTCGCCGTGCTGCCTACCTCCCAGGCGATCCATTACCATAACCATTAAGGGCTAGACAACACATGATCGTATGCCATTTCGGGCCCGACGCAAGCTCGCCTGCACTGCGAAACGAGGCATGACCGTCCGTCTCCAGGACGCCACTCCCAACCGAAATCGGGATTCCTGCGGCCGACCATCACGGGGCATTGAAGGGGGCGACCTCTGGCGGCACCGCGCCGCATCACGGCTCCGGAATAGACGTGACGCAACGGCGGGGACAACAAACTTGCCGCCTCGCCGGCGGCGTGTCGCCGTAGAACGTAAAACCTGATTGTTCCTCTCGTCCCTACACTGCTACGCCATGACTACGCTATCGTAAAATCCTCTTGGCCGGCCGGAGCGGAGCCGTGCCGGTGGCTGAGCCAGAGCCAGGCGGGCCAGGCTGGCCAGGCCGAGCGTCGCAAAGGTCATCCTCACCACTTTATCAGTAGCATCCGAAAGCCATCCGAAGCAGCGGACTGATTCCGAGAGTCGTTTTCGTTGCTCTCTTTCTCTCGCACCTACACACAACGCCTCATCAGTGGGAGAGAAACAGTACGGCTCGGACTCTGGGAATCAGTCCGCCATGCAGGCGCTCCGGCCGGCCGGCCAGTCCGGCGCTCGCTGTCATAGTTTGGTCCGGAGGCTGGCTGGCGCGGGCTGGCGGTGGACCACGCTACCACACTGCAGTGGCAGGAGGGCCTGGCGGCGTGCGGGCCTGCGGGGGCGCGGCGCAGGTAGAGGGGGCAGGTACGCCCACTGCTTGGAGGAGACGAGCGCAGGGCGTGGCGCCCGGCCTGGCCCGCAGCCCACCTTACGCACACACGTGCACACACAGGCACACACTCACACTGCGTGATGTCACCCAGCGCCGGATATTTAAATGACTGGACCGGAGCAACGACTGCAGCGGCGGTACCACACTCGTGTTTCTTTCTGTTTTTTTTTTTTCGTGTGCTTGCCGAGGACCACAAGGCAGTACGGCGCGCAACAGGTGTGCCGAGGGCGGCGTTCGCGGCGTTGTCCTCGCCAGGCCAACTGGCGCGGGTCGCCGACGACAGACACAGAACGCACGGCGCGGTGCAGAGCGCAGCGCTACCGGTACAGTACCTACCTAGGGTAGTCCTCGAGTCCTTCGCGGAGTTATCCAAGCGGGCCGGCCGAGCTGGCGGCTGGCGAAAAAGGAAGCCCTTGGCCGCGAAGGTGCTGTCCACCGCACGCGCCCCGTCCGCGCGTAAGCACGCACTCGCACGCTCCTGCCGCGGTCAGAGAGACCCGCCACCAACCACCAACGCCTACCGCACCGAACTAAACACTGGCCGGTACCTCGGGCCGTCGCGTCCCGTCCGTCTGGCTCGGCCGCGTTCAAAAAGTACACTGCCGTCCAAACGGAACACGCGGCCAAGCAGCCCGGCGCTCTCTCTCTCTCCCGCGCCGCCTTGAGCCGTAGGCCTTCCCTCCCACTCTCCGTCTCCGTCTTGCCCGTGGAGCACGGCCTGGGCACGGCGCCTCGCTCTCTCACTCGCACGGCCGGCGCAGCCCCACTCCCGGCCCCCCACTCCCAGCCTCCGAGACCGTGTGTGTACCTCCTTCCTCATCTCACCTTCCCCATGTGGTCATACGGGTATTGTTGCCCCCCTCCCTCCCTCCTTCGAGCCCTTTACCCCCCCCCTTTCCCCCCCTTCCCGACAAGTCCACCGTATAATGGTACAGGTCCTGTCAAGGCGCTCGGTGTACCCCAGCGCCTCGTAGTACTCGGTGTACTCCGTGTCCTGTCCGCTTGTTCCTTGTTATTTTTGTCGTAACGTGCCCGCCGTGCCGCTTGTTTGTTTCCACGTCTCGCTGTTGTTGTTGTTGCCGGCCGCATGTTTTTGTTTTTCTGTTTTCCCTTCGGCCCTCCGTACTACCAGGACCAGCGAGGACGGGCCGCTACGCGAATGCGGTATGAGGCGTCCAGGTGTGTCCTTCTCTCTCTCTCTCTCTCTCTCTCTCACACACACACACTCACCGCGTCCAGCAAGGCTTCCCGGACCACTTTTCCGGACTGCAGGGCGATACCCTCTCTCTCTCTCTCTCTCGCACTCATGGGACGTTTGGCTGGGTGCGAGAGATGTGGAGCGACGAGACGCTGAGCCGAATCAGTCTGCTGGTCCCGACTGCATCTGAGGCTGCATGTTGATGTTGATGGAGGTACGGGGCGCTGGCCGGGAAGCGAATGTCACTGGGCGAGGCCTGGGCGAGGCCCTGGGGACGGATGCAGCGAGGTGTCGGTGACGTCGGTGACTCGGAGGAACGAGCTTGTCGCATCCGCCCCGCCCCGATCCTATGCTCTACTGACTGCAGGGATCACGTTTCGGCCGCTTGGCCTGTCACTATATAACGTCCATTCTACTGAAGAAAACGGCAGCGGGGGGACCTTTGTTTGTTGCTAGCGTCTCAAACTGGCCGCCTCGGTGGTTTTCGTCTCGGTTTTCGAGCCCGGGCCGGGCGGCGAGAGTGCATCGCACCAGACTTGGCACAGGCTCTGAGAATGCGTGTCCATGCCTCCGTCCGTTCAGCACCACAAATAAGAGCAAGTGTCGGACGCAATGTCTTCTCGGAACGGGCCGCTCGGCTCCATGGCGCCGAGCGTGGCCGAGGCCAAGAGAGCCCGCAGAGAGGCTCGGGCACGAAGCGACGACACGCAAACGTCAGGATAGTGCGCATTCATGACGCGACAGCCATGTTGAGAAGAACGCTCGCCTGTTGCAGGTAAGCACACACTGATAGCAGATAAGCACCCGTTTGGCGGAAAGCTGCGGGAAAAGGAAAACAGGACCGTGTCTCTGCACAGCGCGAAATACTTTGGCCCCAGCAGTAAACCCGCGCAGGCCAGCCGGTCAAGAGTAGTGTCGCCGCGTCGCCGGCCGCGGAGCGAGTAGCGGGCCAGCGAGACAGTGGAGCCCTTGACCCGGCGGCCGAACAGGCCAGCCCGGCCAGCCCTTGGAGGCCCACCGGGGATTCCCGTCGCCAGCCGCGGAAAGGGCACACCAGCACACCAGACGGCGGACCGTTCGAGAGTCGGCGACTGAAACGAAGCAGGCTTCGGCTGCTCGGCGCGAAACGCCCGTCCGTCCAGCGGCACTCAAACAGCGCCCAGCGAAAACAAAGCCCTAACTCGGAAAAACAAGTGAGAAACGCTGCGCGGGCTGGCACTGGCAGTCTGGCCGCCAGCATGTGCGTTACGGCCGAGGCTGGCCGAGGCTTGCTGCCCAGCAAATCCCAGGCCTGGCCGCCGCGCGCCGTGGCCTGCCGCGCCCTGCCGCGCCGCCACGGCCCAGCCGGCACCGAAATAGCAGCACGCCGTGGACGGAGGCCGGCGCGGCGGCGCGGCTTGGCAAACACCAAGTAGCCTGCGATGCACAAACCCTGCAAATCCGCAACGTGAGCGCGAGTGGCGAAGGCGGTGCGAACGAGCAAGTCCAGAAAGGGGGAGGAGCCGACGGTGAAGCGATGAAACAGCGTGCAGTCGGAAAATAAATAAATAGCTATCTTTACTGTCACGAGAGGCCGAGGCCGTCCTCTCATGGTTACAACACAAAATACAAATGAACAATCAACAAAAACTGGGGAAATTATTGTCCGAAAAACATGGGACCTGCTGAGGCCGTCCTCTCAGGGTTACACCACAAAATACAAATTAACAATCAACAAAAACTGGGGAAATTATTGTCCGAAAAACATGGGACCTGCGGAGGCCGTCCTCTCAGGGTTACAACACAAAATACAAATTAACAATCAACAAAAACTGGGAGAATTTATAGTCCGAAAACATGTGACCTTGTCTATTCGTCTGCAGGGCCCGTTTCGCGGTCCACCTCGGGGTCCGCCTCGGGCTCCACCCAGAGCAGGCGCCGGCGCTTCTTCTCCCTGACGCCCAGCGGCACGGCGCGCCTCGGCGTCGTGAGCGTCGCGCTCGGCGTCGCGCGCGAAGAGGGGGAGTCGCGGTCCTCTGAGGGCGACGGCGAGGGACGCGCGCTCCGCTTCAAGGTGGAGGTGCCCTTGTCGGTCCCCATCTGCAGACGGGCAAAAAGAAAGAGTCAAGAGAGGCTTGCAGGAGGAGAGAGGCGATTGGAAAGCAGCGCGTCGTACCGATGCACAGGTAGCTGGGGTGTTGGAGCCTGGCGTTATCCCGGTGCTGCTGCCGCGCTTCGACAGCTGGCTGCACCCTGCACCCAGCAAGACATCACTTAAGACAGTTCATTTCAGCGCTATTTTCCAACAGGGGCGGCGGCTCACCTATTGCGTAGGACTCCTGCAGGAAGCGCAGTCCCGTGCGGCCTCCGACCGCCGCCTCCTCGCCTCCCTGCAGTGCTGCTGCCTGCTCGCGGGGAAGCGGCGGCCTCGTCGTCCAGGGGCTGCAGTCTATGACAAGCGGCCTCGGAGACTCGTCGTCGACACTCGACGACAGAGGGCTGTACGAGATGGACTCGTCGGCGTCCCTCAGGGGGTCTTCGTCGGCGTCCTGATCGTCGGCCAGGGGCGTTGCGGTGTTCGACGTTCCTGGCGCAATTACAGAGGTAGCTGCAGGGAATGAACACCCTGGCGACGCCAACATGGGTACAAGATTCCGTCTTCCAAGACCGAGCGAGGCCAGGACGGAGGGGATCCCCTCGGCTCCGGGGGGACTGCAGGTGAGAGACGGGCACTTTGGCACGCCACTGGCAAGATCGAACTTCGGCGTTGGCATGGACTGCAGGTCGAGAGTGTCGTCCATTGAGGCTCCTGGGTCGGCTGGCGCAGCGTTCTGGGCAGGTCCCGGCGGGCTGCAAGGGAGCGACGGGCACTCCGACATGCCACTTTCAGGTTCGCGCCTCGGCGTTGGCGCGGACTGCAGGTCGTCGACTGGTGCTGCATCCACCAGGACAGGCCGCGCGACCAGGGTGGCTTGGGGGAGCCGCGGAGGGCTTGTCGCCACGGGGTCTTTCTCTGGCACAACGGTCGAGAGCCAGGTGACCAGGCGGGATGCATTGGTGACGGCCTCCACGTCCTTCGCAAACTTCAAAACGCCGTCGCCTTTGCCGGCGGTGTCACGCGGTGGTGGGGGTAGCTGCACGCCAGAAACAGTGCCTTCCTCGGCCGGGCCACTGCAGGCGTGTTCCTCGGCAACCCCAACCACCGCCAGGTCGTGGTGGACAGCAAGTGAAGGCGGCGGGGGTGGGATCGGGTCCACGTCGGCTTCCTCTAGCGCGCGGGGCAGAGTCGGTGCGGCCAGCTCGCTGTCGAGGCCCATGGTGCCGCACACCGTGGACAGGGACAAGCCGGTGTCGAGGGAGATGTCCGGCAGGACGTAGGCTGCCTCCAGGTCGCGGCTCTCCGCCTGGCTGGCGTCCACGGCCTGGGTCGCCGGCAGCGACGACGCGTCGCTGTCATTACTGAACATGCGCTCCATGGAGGGCTTGCTGGGTGCCTGTAGCTGGGCTGCTGCTGGCTTTTCTTCGGCAGCAGCGACGCGCTCGCTCGACTGCGAGGAATGGTCTGCAGAGTCCCCAGGCGCGGCGGATGGGACATTTGGGTCTTCGTCGACACCCTGCACCTGCTCCGGCGGGGCGAAGGCGTTTCCTGGGACTTCGATTTGCATCGCTTGATCTCGAATTTGAGGCTCAGGGGCACTTACTGTAGATTCGATTTGCATCGCTTGATCTTGAATTTGGGGTACAGGCGCACTTTCAGGAGCTTCGAACAGCATCGCTTGATCTTGAGTTTGAGACTCAGGGGCACTAGCTGTGGCTTCGACTACCATAGCTTGCTCTCGAATTTGGGGCTCGAGCACACTTGGTGTAGATTCGATTAGCATCGCTCGGTCATGAATCGGAGGATCAGGAACACTTGCTGTGGCTTGGATAAGCACCGCTTGCTCTTGAATTTGAGGCTCAGGACTACTTGATGAACCTTGCTCTTGAATTTGAGGCTCAGGGCTACTTGATGAACCTTGCTCTTGAATTTGAGGCTCAGGACTACTTGATGAACCTTGCTCTTGAATTTGAGGCTCAGGACTACTTGATGAACCTTGCTCTTGAATTTGAGGCTCAGGGCTACTTGATGAACCTTGCTCTTGAATTTGGAGTTCAGACGCACTTGATGGACCCTCTGGTCGCGACACAGGCCTCTGAGTTTTAGACTCAAGAGCTCCTGCTGGATCCTCAAGTCGCGTCACCGGCTCCTGAATCTGTGTTTCAGGAGCGCTGAACGGTGCCTGATCCTGCAGTTGCACTTGCCGCTGGAAGAACTGGCGAGTGCTCTCCCGACTCGTGGCCTCTTCCGTGGGCTTTGGCGGCGGCGGCGGTGGTGGTGGCGGCGGCGCGGCGTCCTTCACAGCCGGGATGGTGAAGTGCATCTTGGAGGCGGGCAGCTTGGACAGGAACTTCAAGTAACTCTCCGGGGCGGCGCTGGACGAGAACAAGCGTCGGCTGCCCTTTGCTCGGGGCGCGGCCGGCGCGGCTTTGGCGACAGCGGGGGGCGAAGACACCATCGGAGTCTTCGTGCGAGTCTCTGCGGCTTTGGGGGGCTTCTTAGTGACCTTCCGCGCCGGCAGAGACGGCTGGAATGGGGCAGCTTCTTGGATACCCTCGATTGCAGGGGTGGTGGAACTGGGCCCCGGCGCAGGCGCCTCTAGGGCCGCGGGTACTGCAGGCTTCACTAAGGGCGCAGGTCTCACTTCTGGCAAAGGTGCAGGGGCCTTCTTAGGCAGAGGCGGAGAAGTCACTTCTGAAAGAGGCGCAGGCGTCTTCCTAGGCAGAGGCGGGGATGTCACTTCTGGCAGAGGAGCAGGCATCTTGGGTAAAAGCGCAGGTGTCACTTCTGGCAGATGTTCAGGTGTCTTCTTGGGCGGAGACGCGGATGTCACTTCTGGCAGAGGTTCGGGTGACTCTCTGGGGAATAGCACTGCTGCGATAGGCTTCCTCGGAGAATCTCCCGCTGCAACTGCAGATGGCTCGGTGGTGAACATCCTCCGCTTGAAGGTGAAGCGGCCTCTGGGCACCGCAGTGTTCGAGGCACTTGGCGCTTGCGGCGTCGCCGTCGTCGTCGGGGCTGGCGGAGGCACGGCCGCGGTCGTCCCCGGACGTGCTGCGGCGCTCGGCGCGCTTGGCGGCCTCGAGGACGACGCAGGGATCACCGAGTCCTCGAGACGCGCGGGAAACACCATCTCCACGGCCTCGAACGCCTTCCGCAGGCGACGACGCGGGGCCGTCGTTTTCGGAGGGCTGGGTGGACCCGCCGAGCTGTGGGTTGACACCTGAACTGACTCCTCCCGTCGCTCCTCCTGAAAGCAGAAAATATTTTAAAATCAGTTTCAGCTAGAAATTAAATTTTTAGAAATTGAATTACCCTTGACAACACCTTTTAAATCGACGACTCTACGAATTGAGATGCACCAGACCTCGCGAAATTTGAACTGTGCGGCAGACTGACCTGCTGGGCCTGCTCGGCTTGGGGCGCCACGCCAACACCGCGCCGCCACGCCATGGACAACTGGGGGTAGGAGCCGGCCGGCGCGGGCGGGGGCACCGAGTACACGGTCGAGGCCGTCTGGAAGCGCGGTGTGGTAGAGGGGGCCGCGGGGGCGTGGAAGCGGCCGGTGAACTGGGGGTAGGGTGCCCGAGGTGCTGGGGCCGCTGGGGCCGCTGGGGCCGCCTGCTGAGCGGCGCGGGCCGCGCGCTGCGACGCCAAGAGGCTCTGCTGCTGCAGCATGAGGCTGCGGTTCGACTCCAGCAGGCGGCTCTTCTCCGCCTCCAGGGCCGCGTGCGCGTGCTGCAGCTCGACGAGTCTCTGCGGACAGGCAGCAACATCAGTCAAGTGAGGCCTTACTTTTGAATCGGAGCGAGCGCGAACCCGCACGCACCGACTGGAGGTAGTCGACTTGGCCGTGGACCGAGCACAGCTGCTCGTGCAGAGAAGCCTTCTCCGCCTCCAGAGCCGACATGCGCTCCGTCATCTGGGCCGTCCGGTCCTCGAACTGCAACCAAGACAAATGCCACACAATAGTCAAGTCTCGCACGGTGCGGTCCGGTCGGTCTGGTCCCCGTCCGCACCTCCAGCGTGGCGAGGTTCATCTCCTCGGCGCACTCCTCCGCGACGGACATGAGCTCGGCGCGCAGGGCGGAGAGGGCCTCCTCGTGCTTCAGCCTCGTCTCCTCCTCCTTCTTCTGGGCCGCGTCCAGCAGGGCCTTCTTGTCCTTGTCCGCGGCATCGCGCGCCTCCCTGGCCGCGTCGAGCGCGGCCTGCCTCTCCAGCTCCAGCGAGCGCTGCATGTCCTTGCTGTTGCGCTCCCATGCCGCCACCCGCGCCTCGGCCACCTGCAGGGAAGAATAGGACATGGTAGTGAACATTGATTACGGAATAAATAACCAAATCAATCCTCGCTGGAGACCGGTCCTTACATCGGCGTCGACGCTGGCTCGATTCTTGACCTCCTGGATCTCGTCCCTGCACTTCTTGTTCTCCTCTGCAAGCAGAAAGCAAGGTGGAGGTGAGGGAGGTGAGAGACTTCGGCACGGCGACGAGGCGTCGCGACGCCACGGGCCAGCGACGCCTGCCGATACCCCTCCCCCAGGCGTGCCGGCCGCGCTCCGCGCTACCCCTTGCCGCTGGGTCCCGTGTGGCCCACCCAGACGGACCCGAGTCGGGGGCTCGGCGGAGGCGGAGCTGCACCACCAGCCCCGGCACCAGCCCCGGCTGCCCGGGGCACAGCATCCGTCACTCCATGCCATCGCGGTAGCCAGCACGCCTCGCCCGCCGCCGCCCCTCCGCTCCGCCAGGTGAGTCCCAGGGTGTGTGCAAAGGACGGGTCGGACCGATGACCGTGCACTCATTTGCGGGTCCCCGACGTCCCCGACCTCGGTCACCGCCGGGTCTAGTCACGACGCCTCACTGGGGCGGCAGCCGGTCCAACAGGCGGGCCATGGCCCTGCAGGGGAGCGGGCTGGGGCGGGCGGTCCCACACGGAAAAAAGACGTCTAAAAGACGTATATTAGACGTCTATTTGTAGATGGAAATGAGTCTAATAGAGGTCTTTTGACATCTACATGTAGATCATCTACACATAATCTAATGGTCGAATTTGCGACGTCTATTAGACGTCTATTACTTTTTCTCTAGTAGACGTCTGCAGATAGATTTAGAATCGACGGACTCAGAATAGCCCCTGCATACCATGTAGAGCACAACGAAGGTATCAACGGTAAAAACGCGAGTTGGGTTCCCGCTTGGGAAGGTAGCAGCATCTAGATCGAATAGGGCAGTTCGTTCCTGATGTGGGGATTTAGAGGGCCGAGCAAGGGAACGCTGCCGGTACGGCACTACCAGCCCTTGCCACACCCAAAAAAATGTAAGGTCCTCACGCCACAAGAGCGTTTATATTAAGAGGACTCTTCAAATGAGAGGAGAACGGCGTAGAGACTATAAGAGAACTGGCTCACGGAGTCGTCACCGCGAGCGGGCAGACGTGCTTTGCGCGTGGCGCGCTCTCGTGGCAGTTAGGAGAAGCTTATCCGTCTAGTACCTTATCTAAAGAGTAGAAAGACATCTTTCTACTTTGAAGACCAAGATCTCACCCACTACGCTATGGACTGACCTAAGAAGTTGGGACGGAAATTAATCTATGTGGCGTCTGCATAAAGTCTATCATTGTGCATCTATAGATAGTCTACATGTGATATATTTTTAGACGTCCATGTTTCAACGACCTTAGCTGCCTACATGAAATCTACCGTGTGGATATCTGCAGATAGACCTTTGCTAGATATCAGGTAGATCTGTCCTATGAGTCCTTAGATGAACTTCGACAAGAAAGATCATCTATAGACGTCTGCAGTTGCATCTATAGTTAGACATAGACAGATTAGAGGCGCCTTAGATCCTTTATAGACCGTCTACTTCAGTCCATAGATCTCTATAGACACTAAAGATCATCTATAGATTGTCTAAATTTGTCTATAGACGTAGATAGACTTTTGAAGACCACATCTAGACGGTCTAGCTTAATCTATAGACGTCTATTTTCCGTGTGGGGTCCCCCCGGGTAGCACTGGTAGCACCCCTACCTCTGAGCTTGGCGACGATCCTGTCCAGAAGGGCGTACTCCTTGGCGGTGACCACGGCCCGCTGCAAGGCCTGCGCCGCGGCCCTCTCGGCCTGCTTGGCCTGCTCCAGGCGCGTCTCCAGGTCGCGGTTGCGCGCGCGCTCCCCGGCCAGGCTGCGCAGCAGGTCGGTCCGCACCTGCGAGTGGGAAGCAGACGTGAGGCGGGGATAGGAATAGGAGGGCACTCACGTCGAACCACTAGCTTCGCCCGGTAGAACCGAACTGTCAGTTTACAGGGCGCGGCGCTGCTTGGTCACTGGAGTGAGTACTGAGCACCAACGTGTGTGCTGTGTACTGAGAGCACTTCAGTTTCAAGCGCGGACCTAGGTCTGCACTTGAAATCCCCCAATTACGCCCCGTTGTTGCCCGAACAGGCTCCTCGTTAGCAATGTTGCAGAAAACTGCAGCAGAAACCCGCAGTCAACTGTGGCAGCTCTCCATTTATCAATGGAACTCGGGGGAAAAGTTGGCAAAGGTTCCCGCCCGACGGCTGTGTCTTTTTCTTTTGTTGAATGCGAACTGAACGGGAAACGGAGGAAACAGAGGCGGTGCGCGCCGCGCGGCACTGCCTCCCACCCGACCCCGCCGCGCGGTGGGTTGCCTATCTGTCGGGCGAGGCAGTGCTCGCGCCGACCGCAGCCTGCAGGCTGAGTCCGCACATCGCTCGCCGCCGTCTCTGTCGCACGCACGGGGCGTCCCGTCCGTCCCGTCGGTGCGAGAGAGACAGAGCGACAGTGATGTGCGGAATCGGTCTGCCAGGGCCAGAGGGCCCGGGGCAACGCCCCACGCGACAAAGCGATACGGCAATACGTACTTGCTGAAACTTCTCCGCCACTATCTTGATGTGCACCAGGTCCTCGCTGAGGGCCTTGGACGCCAGGGGGTTGTCGCTCTCCTCCATCGCGAGGCGGACGCGGCAAAGGCTCACCTGCGGACACAAACAAAGCCGTGATGAGCAGACCGACGATTCCGAGAGTGTTCTCGTCGCTCTGTCTCTCTCGTCCTCATGGGGCGTCCCTTCCTGGTGCGAGACGGAGCGACGAATGAGTCCGGAGAGGGTGTCGGCCGCGTTCGCCGCGTTGCTGCGTGTGACAGTCGGGCGAGGTAGACCCAAGGTGGAGCAGTCAGGGTCGGACGGGACGTGGGCTCGATTCAGTGGAACTCCGCCATTCTCTCCCCCGCCCCTGCCTTTCTCCGAACGTACAAACAAACCCTACATGCGCCACTCGAAGTGGCAGCAGCTCCAGGCTCGGGAGCCTGCGCGCGGCAGCGGGCTGGCGGGGCTGGCGGGCTGGCCGAGGGTGATATGGTGATGTAAGAGGCCGGGGGTGAGGGCGAGGCGGGCGAGGCACAAGGCAGGTGGCGAGGGGGAGGGGTGGACAGGGGTGGACGTGGAGATGGACGCAGGAGCCGCGGGGAGTGAAATGAGATCCAAGACAGTGTGGCAGTGTCAAGCCGCCGGGTTACACGCCACGCCCCGCTTGCCCCTGGTGCTCCCGGCAGCTGGTGATTGCTTTTCCGAACCTGCCGAGCGATTCAGAAAGAACGGTCCGTTGCTTTGTCTTTCTCGCACCGCCGCGGAGAGCCTCGTGAGTGCGACAGAGACAGGGCGACGAAACGGCTGCTCCGAATCGCTCGGCTGAAGGAGCGCTGGGGCTCGCAGGGGTGGCGGGGCGGCCCCCGCCGTGCCGTGCCGTGTCATGTCGCGCTGAACCGCGCCGTGCCGTGCCGCGTCGCGCCGTGTCGTGCCGCGACGGGCGGCAGGCGCTGCCACTCCGGGCGAGTCCACGACCAGACCACCCCTCCGTTCAATCCCCTGTCGGGGCATAAGCCGACTACGAAGTCAGTTAGCGTCATTTTGGTCGCCGGGCTTACACTGTAGGGCGGATCTCGCGAGACACGGGCCGCTCAGGATGAAGAGAGAGAGGGAAGAGG